GAGTTTGAGACCCCTGCTTTAAAGTGTAATTATTTTATTGAAAGAAGCTACAGAACAGTATGAACTTTAAATACCCTTCTACCAAAGTTGAGGGAGAAGCATCTGTCTACGCAAAGAGTTAAATCCAAATGGAATCTCCCCCTCCTTCCCTCCCTTTAAGTAATAGTTCTAACTCCACCCTCAGGGGGCAAGATGGTGGAAATGCTATAGACCCTCTAACTGAAGGACTGCATTTTGCATCTGCTTTCCCCAACCCTTTCACCACTTCTAAAGCAGGCAGATTCTCACACTCCACCTGAGAAACTTCATTAGGTGACCCTGAAACTTTAAAGTTCTCCCCCACCATCTAGTCCTAGTCCTCCTCAGAATCAGATGAATCCTTCTGAACAGTCTGTAATGAGTAAGAGACAGGCTCATTCTCTACAAGTTTGTCCTAATATCGAAGGCTAACCAAAATTTTCTGATAAGAACATTGCTTCATATGTACCTGGGCATGGTGGGAGTTGTCTGTCTTCCAGCACATTGTTCTAGGTCATCAAGCAATTCCACTGAAACATACATCAATGGCCCTATTATAAATATAGTCTTCAACCAAGAACTATATTCCCAGAAAGCAGAAGATAGTCCAACACTTCCACTAGCAAATGAGGAATACTCATGACAGCAAGAAGCAACTGAGCTAAACAACATAGATCAGAACATGATGGAAAATGGGGTTTGCTCTGCAACATGTGTACTGTACAAAGAAACCCTTTGGTAAACTACTGTGCCTCTATTGACAAAGGAAGCTAGAATTTTACCACTATTATGTTCTTAATAGTAGGCTACCTAGTTAGCATATAAGGAGAGCAGGCTGAAAGAGTCAAATTGCAAACGAACAAGTTTGAGAGAAAAAGCAATGGAGCAGGAATGAATGCAAACATGATTCAGGGAACTGAGGAAGGGTGGGTATTTTGCAGTTCCTGCTACACTTTTGTACAGCCCTGCCACAATCATAACTTAAAGCTTCCCTCCCTGCTCATCAAAATTAGCTTTGCTCTAACTGGCATAGAGATAAGTTTCCAAGCACAATGTCAAAGATTTCCAAAAGCTAGAACCTTATGGACGCTTATTTGGGAATGGATCCCATTAAAGAGGTATTGCTACTGAAAAGTCTGTCCATCCAACTGGGGAATTTTCAACCTGTTCTGAACAGCATTGCACTCCCCCAGAGGACAAGGTTCACAGCCTCGGGGTGCTCCTGGATCCCGAGTTGTCACTTGTTTCTCAGGTGGACTTGGTAGACAGGAGCACTTTCCACTAGCTTAGGTTGGTTTATCAGTTACATTCCTACTTGATGAGTGGAGCCTTGCTACACTTATCCATGCACTGGTAACCTTGCACCTGGATTACTGTAATGCACTTTAAGTAGGACTACCTTTGAAAATGGTTGGAACATTGCAACTAATCCAGAACAGAGCTGCACACCTGCCAACAAGGACTGGCATCCATGAACGTATCATGACAGTCCTTCACAGGCTGTATTGGCAGCTGGTTGCCATCTGGGTCCATTTCAAAGGGTTGATGTGCCACCTGCATCCCAGGATGTTAACATACAAAGCCCTAAACAAGTTGGGATGAGGATATCTGAGGGAATGCCTGTCCCCACATGCCTATTCTTGCCTGATCACTGAGGTCTTCCTCGGAGTCCCTCCCCACAACCAAGTCATGGGGGAGATAACTAGGAGAAGGGCCTTCTCCATAGTAGCACCCAGCCACTGGAATTCTCTTCCAACAGAAATTCATCAGGCATCCTTTCTTTGGAGATGCCAATTAAAAATGCTTTTATTCTGTAAATATTTCGGTAAGCTGGTTTTACAATGGTTTTTGTTGCTGCTGCTATGTGGAGAATTTTAGTTGCCAGATAATTTATTTATGAAATTATTGTTTTAAATGGTTTTATTGTTTTTTATTGTTTATTAAAGGTTGACTGTTTTATTGTTCAAATGAATTGTTTTAATCTGGTGTTTTATTGTTGTACTACGTAAACCACCCTGAGAGCCTCTTGGCCAAGGGGTATAGCATATAAGTGCAAAAAATAGAATGGATATGGAGATAATTTTATTCATTTCATTTACTACTAGAACCTGGGATCATGCCATAAAACTGCTTAGTGCAAGATTCAGGACAGCTGGAAGTACCTTTTTACACAGTACATTGTTAAACTATGAAATTCACTTCTATAAGGTATAATGATAGCCATCAAATTGCAGTTTTGAAGGGGAACTGGGCAATTTCATGTCAATCTCTATTATTCCTAATGGCTATATATTACTTCTGGTATCAGAGTCAGTATGCCCATGCATATGAAATACGGGGGGAGGGGGGGCGGTGTGCGGTGCCTGTGGGATTCCCATCAGCAGTTGCTTCACCACTGTGTGAACAGCATGCTAGATTTGATAGGCCCTTGGTTTGGTCTAGCACAGCTCTTCTTATGAACTCTGCACTACTTATATCCAAGTGAATATGTACAGGATTATGCCTACCTCAAACATCTAATCTGGAATGTCACTAAAGGGCAGCAATATGGTATACTAGTCATCAAATGAGTACTTGGGAGATTTTCTGCCTCAGACACCAAAATAATTTAGCTGGCCTTGGATACTATACACCATGATTTTGAGGTAGGTGAAGATTATGGAACATACTTCTACTTTGCAGCAAAAAAATCCTCTGTACTGTCTTCTGGCATTTCAATGAACATGGCTGTTTATAAAATGTTGGAGTGAGTTTGTGCAAGATGCTGAGATGTGATCTCCATTACAGCTTCTAAGAACATATTGCAATTCTTATAAAGATTTATAAATTAATAGTTCTTTTGTTTTCTCATTCTTTTAGCAAAATCGTATGCATGTTTACTCACTCAGTGAGTGGTGGTATGTTCAATTGATCTTACTCCCAGGTAAGTGTGCAGAGGACTATGGCCTTAAAAAAAACCTTCTGTTAATTCCTGAGGAATCAACATTCTTTGCTCATATGCAAGTGTATTTATGATTGGAGCCTCTGTCATTGGTATTAATCACTGTGATCATTCTGCATAAATATTTTCAGAGTGTTACTTTTGTTGCAGTTAATTTTACTTTCTTTTCCTTATTAATAATTAAAAGGGAAGAAGTTCATGCTGTGAGAAATACAGCTAGTCAAAGCTGTGCTGCAAATATATTGAGGGACTTCAGATGTGAATTTGGGAGTTATTTGTCAGTATTCTTTAACCAGTGTTGAGTCTAAATGTAAATATTTCTATTTTTATTTGGGAAGGGAAGAAGTAGAAATAGACAGGCCTACAGAAAACCCCATTAGAAGAAAGTGGGACTGGGTATCTGAGATGGTATTAAACCCAGTAGAGAATATATGCTTGTAACTTTAAAAAAAAATTCTCACCATTAAGAATTTCATGACCAAAAAACATCTTTACTCCTGGTGCTTGTCTGCCACTTTCCAAATTCTTGACTAAAGAAAAGAAATAGAGAAATGTCACTCCCTTTAATTAAAGAAAAATGTTATGATTTTATTCTAAAATTTAGAACCTAAGTATAAAATACCACCCCTGTCTAACCCAGTCTAGTGGAGAAATGTGGAAATTATTGACTGACCGTGTACAACGTGACAATCCATTATGGGTGACAAGCCATGATGGGATGTTTCCTGTGAACCTGGTCCCCTTCCCACAGGGTAGCTTGTCTGTGGTAACAACCCACCCCAACAACCCATAGCATTCTGAATCTTTCCCTCTTATCTGGCCCCCAATGCTCTCATGTGTTTAACAAACCTGTATACCACAGTCTGACCTACACACCAGACTGCAGTGGCTGGAGGCCCTGATACAAGTGAGCTGATGTATCTGCTTCAGGTGCTTGTATTAAATTTAAAGGAACTAACTAGAGTGCTTGATTTTTTTTTTAAAGGAAAAGAGTCCCTAGGGCTTTAATACCATAGCTTGTTCCTTAAATGTTCATACTGAAACCTGGAGTGGATATACCACCCCACTGACAGTGGAGTGACCAGCCTCCACTAACACAAGACATCTCTATACTAGATTACGCCTCTTCAAGCCTTTCTACTATAAATATTGTTCTCCTTTTTCATTAAACCTTTGAACAATTTTCTGCTTGTAGATACAGCTCCTGTACATTTTTTACCATTACATATTTTAAGAAAATGGTTTATTTTGCTGAACTAAAAATGTGGAAAGGCTACTGAGAAACCGCTAGAACCCAACATAGTGCAGTATAGGATGTCTTTTATAAAAGGTCAAATGAAAAGCCACTGGAAATTCTTGATTATTCATAGGCAGACATTTGGTGATATGAATAAGAATAGTGGCTGTATTAACAAGAAAACAACATAAGCAGGTTTATAGTAAATTCCGGATAACTAATAATAAAAACAAGTTGGCAAAAGGGTCTGGATTGATATCTAAAGAAGGATGTTTGTTTATTTATTTAGGGAACTTTTATGCCGCCCCATTCGCCGAAGCCTCGGGGCGGCTCACAATCATAAATAAATAATATAAAACAATATAATTTAACAGTATAAATTAAGTCACCCTGGCCAAAGAATAAAATAAATAAATAATATTAACAATTAAAATAACGTTTGAATAGAGGTCTTTGCCTGGCGCCGAAAAACAAATAATGACGGCACCAGGCAGACCTCTCTGGGGAGCACATTCCATAGATTAGGCACCACCTCAGAGAAAGCCCTTCTCTGGGTACTTACCCTCCTAATTTCCTTCACGGAGGGTTCCCGGAGAAGGGCCTCTCCCGCTGATCTCAAGGGGCGGGTGGGCGGGCATATATGGACGTAAGCGCTCCTTCAGGTAACCAGGACCCAAGCCGTTAAGGGCTTTATAGGTCATCACCAACACCTTGAATTGGGCCCGGACTTCAATGGGAAGCCAATGAAGATGACGAAGAACTGGAGTCATGTGAACATAACGCCCAGTCCCCATCAGCAGCCCGGCAGTTCTGTTTTGAACCAATTGAAGTATCCGGACTGTCTTCAATTAGGGATCTCCCTTCTGAGTGCCACTCACTATTAGGAGGTCTAATATAATTTACGATGCAGATGGTTGCAGCTGTGTTGTACTACTGGTTACGAGTGGGGAATAGGCAGTTTATGGAGAGCTCTTGGGAAATGGACGGATACAGCATCTGATAAACTTTGTTTATCAGGATAAATAAATATGTTGAATTAAAGGCCGGCATTCTCGGATTATTTGAAGGATGAATATTAGGATTACTTATCATTTACAAAGGTATACTAAGAGTGTTTGCTTTTCAACTGATAGCAATAAAGTATTGTATAAACTAAGGGTGCACAACATGCAGCTGCTTCTGGGCAAAGCCCCATAGCAGTAAAACAGAGTTTATTTGCTGCTAATAATCGGCGGCAAAATATTTCAGAACCACAACCATCAAATTTAGCTCATTTTCAAGTTAAAATGGCCACTGTTGTGGTTTGCTGCAGAAATTCAGTGGCAGTCAAATAGGTTTTACACAGCTGCAAAATTACACAGGCTGAAGAAAATGTGTTCTAGACCTCCAAAAGTTGTTCATCCTTGCTATACAGAATAGGAACCTGACATAGTTCTTTTAAGTCCCGAGACTTTTAAGTATGAGATAGTATAGAAGTTTTAAATAGATAGATAGATATTGAGAAGTTGAACAATTAGATTTTTGAAATAAGGGTTATTTTCTGAAAGACTGATTTAAAATAATCTTGAAATATTTTATACTAGACAAGATTTAAGTCATTTTGTGTTTTAATATTATTGGAATGTGAGACTGAGCTCAAACATATAGGATATTAAATAAAACAATATATGCAGGAAGTATATAAGCATGTTCTGCTGTTTTGGACAAATAAGCTTCTTTATCACCCAGCCTATGTACATGTCTGCTGAGCAGCCTCTTTACAGCTGGATGAGAAACCCAAGGCTTAGATGGAAAACACTACTTTTAAAACTTTTTTTAAAGGCTTGCTGGGACTGAAATCTGTGAAAATAAGCAAAGTTTAGGAAATACTGTGCATTTTTACTGCTGTAGAACTATTGTTTTCGCCTGCTTAGTTGTAATCTGATTATCAGGTTTCATTGAGAAGGTGTAGAGTTAATAAAAGCGAAAAAATCTATGAGTTTTCTCTTAACTAATTCTGGAAATTTGCAAATTAAAATTGAACTCAACCTTCTGAGATTCCTTGTACACTCTGTCTCAAGTGTCCTAAGTCAGCATAGCTAAAATGGTGAAGGACTTCCTAAATACTGGAGCTATAGTTTGATAATGCTTAGTGGAAGCAAAATCCCTGATACCACTTGGACTATATACCCTCTCCTGTCTCTGCCTTACTTTGTTCCCTCCCCTCATCCCTCATGCTCAGAATAGCCACCCTCTTTCCCTCTCACTTTCCCCATTCAAATCCCACAAGTATTTCTCCCTTCTAAATTACATTCACCATACACTTTCATTATCATCTTTATCTGGTCTGGAAAAACTAATTTTGTTCTCATAAGTTTTGAAGGGCATTTAATCTTGGTTTTGGTCTTCATAGCATCTTTTAACCTTTTGTTTTATATACTTTGTTTCTTAAAGTATTTACTATTAGCTGCCCTGAATCCTCAGCAATAAGGCAGGATATAGATACAGAAAGTAATCTGAATCCCCCATCATCTCCACTGTTGAAAGAAAAAACTGCAGGACTAAGAATCAAATTCTTAAGTACATGTCCTTCTCAGGAACACTAAAAACTCAACCCCCCACCCCATAAAATGTTTAACTGTAATTTGTTACACTAAGTGCAGCAGGAAGAATTTTTCGCACATGCCATGCATAATAATTCTACCAAATCATCATCTTGGGTCATTAGTTTGGGTTGTAGCATTAGATACCAACCACTGAGTAACCAAGACATAACTTGTGAGATTAGCCTCTCTTCTTGCTGCATAACCTCAGGTATATTTAATGTATTTATTGATGCAGTTGAAATTTATGCAAGATAAAGCTTGAGTAAGGTTTAGATACACATTTCCTGAGATTACTTGCTCTTTTAAGGGCAAATTAAAGATGCCTAGCTTAAGTATAGTTAAGTAGATAATGATACTTTCAAATAATAAATGAAACCCTATTATTATGAATATATTCAGGAATAGGTAAGCAATTATTGGAATAAAATCAATCTTAAGGTCATTAAAAGCCAGAAAGGGCCATGTGTGTAACCGTGGTGTTTGAGGTACTGTTGTATACTGATTAGAGAACTGGCTTGGGAGAGCAAAGTTCAAGTCTCCTCTCAGCCAAAAAGCTCACTAGTTGACTTAGGGCCAGTCATTAATTCTCAGCCTAACCTACCTCACAGGGTTGTTGTGTGGATAATGAAGGTCATGTGAGTCACTTAGGTTTCTTATTGCAAGAAAAAAATATGGGGTATAACTCTTATATAATGTAACCACCACCACCAAATACCCTTGTGGAATAAAGGGTTAGTCATTGCTAGCAGCTTTCCACTGGTAAGAAATACAGAGAAGGAAAAGGAATTAATTGCAAAAATTGATAAGTCCAAAATTATGTTATTAAAATAGCCAACGTAAACAATTCAGTTTTCAAAGATGGTGGAATAGATTGCTAGAAAGACACCAATGCTACTTTCAATTTATAAAGATCAGGAAAACTTTGAACAGAGACATTTCCAATAAGACTAACATGGCTGCCTTCCCAAATATGATAGACTAAATCTCTCAACCATGGTGCTTGGTACATGGATACCGGCAATGAGCAAGAAGAAGGTAGACCCCTGTTCAAATATTCCTTGTTCATTTAGCATATGGAACTGTAGGCAGAGAAGAGGAATTCTGTTGTGCTACTTTATCTGTTGTGAACACACACTTCACACACAGAGCAAGTAAATTCCTGCTCTGACCCAGAGTTCTTTGTTCATAAAATGAGGCTACAATCCAATACACTTTAATGCCTGCATACATAGAAACAGAGTGGGTCAGAAGGGGTCTCCCTGGCCATCTAGTCTGACCCCTAGCTCCAGTTGACTCTGCTCATGACATGTCTACCGTGTGCATGTCTCTACATCAGTATTAGCACCATAAAAATAAGTTCCTGGGCCAGAACAGGCTTTTAGGCCATGGGGCATGGTCAGTAGGCTGGAATTCAAGAAGAACCACCTAGTATCCTAGGTTCTGAGATTGAATGCTGGAATTCTTGTGGGGAAAAGGTCAGATATTTGCCTAATCTGAAAAAGATTAGGCAAAATAACCCTGCAAAGAGGATAACCCATTGTCCTGAGACATCTAGAAATTACCACATCAACAGTACCTAGCAAACATAAAGAATTCATCTTTTACCCAGAGAAACTAGTTAAGGTCATCAAGAAGCAATCAAGCACCTTCCCAACAATTTGCATAAGTCTGGAAAACCCATCCTTCCCACAGACAAGTATACAGGGAGAACTATATTCTGAGTATCAGACACTAAGGGGAATCAGATAGTCTCTGAACATATTGAGAAGCATAAAGCAAGCTCTGAAAACAGGCCTCCCTCCATGCCCCCCGCCAGCTTGTATGGACACCTTGCACCCTTCCTGCCCACGCAACACAACTGCTGTCAAGAGTCTCCCCTGCAGGACATAGACTCTCTTAGACAGTAAGTAATTGATCAGTTTAGAAATATAGGGTAAAATTGGGATGAAACAGGACTATTTGCTGTTGGATTAAAAGCTTGTCCCTGCTGTATACTTTCTAGTGAATAAACTATCCTTTCTAAGTACTGTGTGTTTTGTGTGAATGGAAAATCAGGACTTGTTCTTTCTGGTCATGTGTGTTAAACCCCAGTAAAAGATCCCAAACCTTTCCAGGCAATCTGGCAGGCAAGCACCCTCTTTTGAGGTGCACTGCTCCACAAGATTACTTGGTGTAACAACACATTTCGTTCATAGTATGAGCAGTTGAAGAAAGGGGGTTTAGTTTCAAATAAACATATAGATTTAGGTTGCATATTGCACAACAGTACTGGGACTCAAATTTATTATAGTTAAAATATTACTGCCATTCTTCCTTCCTTCCATTTGCACACCCAGCTTTCCAGTATTGTACAGGTTTGTCTTTTGAAAAGGGCTGACAAATGGTGACCTGCAGGCCAGATTGGGCTTGTAAAATTTCCTTGAGAAATTAGTATGCCAGCTAATATTATTGGTGCTGTAGTAGAGTAGTTTACACAGATATAACCTAATTTACATTGCAGTTGCAACCCCTCCCCCCAATACTGCCCCATATTTAATTATGAAACCACCTGATAATCTGAGCATTGAAACAGCCTTCTGACTGACAAACCCCTACCTAAAAAATAGAAAGAGCCCTGAAAATATGTAACGTGCTATCACTGTTCTAGAAGATTCAAGAATCCCTACCAATATTTGATTTACAATATAAGTTCAAAAGAAAAAAAGAGAACCTCTATTCAGAAAGATACTTTGGCAGGAATCCACATGTTGTAGCACTCCCTGAAATGTGCCACATTTCAGGGTGATTTTCACAGTTTTCCCCAGAATATCATGAAGGAACTGATAATCATTGCTAGGATCCATGTTGCGTTTTATCTTCCAAGAAATCTGGTATCCAGCCTAAATGAGAAATTAATCAGAAAAATCTTGGTGAATTAGTTCTATTACAAGGGAAAAGATCCCTTAAATTATAAAAATATTCTCCAATGAACATAGATTCCAAAATTACACATACACATTATTTGTACTTTTTAACAAAGTAGCATCAGTTACACCTTTCTCATACAGGCAGTCTTGCTTAATCAGTGCCCTTGTAAGTATCAGCTGTCAAACATTAATAGACTGATGAGCAAAGACTGTGTGCCAACATGGTGTGCTGGTTAGAACAGCAAACTGGGACCCTGAAGATCCAGGTTCCTCTCCCCACTCAAACATGAGCTTACTGGGTGACTTTGGGCCAATCACTGACTCTCAGTCTGCTATATGTAAACCACCTTTGGTTCATTGCAGGAGGAAACAGGGGAGGATAGAAATATAATAAATATGTAAAAACACTTTTCAACACTTGCCCATCCCCAGCTAGTCCAGAAAAGGAGTGACCTTAAGCTCTCCCCTATTTGCAGCTTTTGGGACACCTACTTTGCAACTTTTTTCCTTTTGCTGCCTGAAATTGAGAAGGGCATTGACCAGGCAGGACAAAGGAATTTCTAAGGCCCCACTTATGCCTCAACAAAGCTCTAAGACACACACAAACCATGGTGAACAAAAAAGAACAGAGATGGATTGCGCCACAGGGGTCACTGGAATAGTCCCTAGAGGACTGAGAAGGGGGAAGGGAGAAGAATGAGTCATGTGGTGTCTGTGTTGGGCACATCATGCATTGTTCTGTGAACAACCAACACTATGTTGCTAATTTGTGGGCAAAGTTGCCCAATCTCTGCAAATAGCATCCAGTGGCTCCTATCCAGCTAGGAAGTGGACTCTCCTCACCTACTTTTGGCTCCTGCCCTTGACATTTTTCAGATGGATCAATGCCTTTTTTTTAAGAAAAAAGGTGCCTATCCCTGCTCTAAAAATTCCAGTCAGATAAAATTGCATATTGTATATTATAGACCACACCTTGAATACATTTTTATGTTTTATTTGAATGTGAAATAGTAAAGCATGAAAACTGTTTCCTTTGCAGAGGTTGGAGCCACTATGATCATCTCTAAAAAGTTAAACTATGAAGTCTATTTTTAGAATGGGAAGAGATGCTATCTGTGTACCTAGCCCATGCTACATGCTGCAAATCAAACAAGCAAGCCGCCCCATTTAGTGAATTCAAATATTTACAGTGGACAGTGATAGGATATTACTCTCCACTATCATGAAATCCTTCACCACCTTTATCACTGCAGTTTTCTGCATGCATAATTAAACCTTCTGCCTAGTTTTTGCATTCTTGCATGCAAGGCAGTGCTATTTAAATAGCCAAGGGTTACTAGCCACCTGAAACCTTAGGTGGGCCTTTAGGGCATTGGTAATTTTTAGGAATGTCTTGTATTTGGAAGGCTTGTCATTCCTTTAGAACTAGTTCTGTAGGTATCACTACATTGCTTTTCAGAATAAGGCACACTGTGCATGAACACTGGCCAGTGTTTTGCATATTTCAGTTTGCTGTTTGGCAAACCTACAGAATAACAATTAAGCATGACTACTACTTTGATATCAGCAAGTAGGGTTTATTGTAGAACTGGGATAGAAAACTTAAAAAAAAACAGATTTCAAGAGGATTCAACTCCACAACTAAATGTCATACATTCAGTTTCTACACTTAAACTCTGGTGTAAGTGAACTACCTTTTTTAGATATACTTAATTCAACTCAATCAGATATACATTTTAGGGATATTAACTGAATCAAGTGTGAGTTGAAATAAGCATGTCTAAAAGCTTGCTTTATACTATGTAGTTTTAAGAACTCCTGTTTTTGTCAGTATTTAAAGCAAGATTCATGGAACCAACAGATATTTCTAATCATCTAGTAACAGTGAAGGACTGCAGGTGGCGCAGTGGTTTAAACCACTGTGCTGCTGGGCTGATTGAAAGGTCGCTGGTTCGAATCTGCACAACAGGGTGAGTTCCCGTTGCTCCGTCCCAGCTCCTACCAACCTTGCAGTTCAAAAGCATGCAAATGCAAGTAGATACAAAGGTACCACTTCGGTGGGCAGGTAACTGTTCCGTGCACTTCAGTGTTTAGTCATGCCGGCCACATGACCACGGAGACTGTCTGCGAACAAACGCTGGCTCCCTTGGCTCGGAAACAGAGATGAGCACCGCCTCCTAGTCAGGCATGACTGGACTTCACGTCAAGGGGAAACCTTGACCTTTTAGCAACAGTGACAATAGCCTGTCTTAAACTCATTTAAAAACAAGTTCTATGGTAGATTCCATTGGTTTTTCTAAGTAGGATAAAATGGTACTTAGAATATAATTTTAAAAAATAATTTAAGACAAGCTAGTGTTACTGCTACTGGGGACTACAAGTATCTCTTGGTCCTCCAGGTCTTTCTTCTCCTCTGTTTCAATAACAAGGGTTACTAAAAGGGTATCATAATAAGCTATGACCAGTCAGAGGGCATACCTTATTCATATAATGATGATGGTAGTAAAGCCACAACAACTGACATACTGATTTTTGTCCAGGATCAAAAAAGGGTAACAGGAAGGAAGGAAGGAAGGCAGGAAGGAAGGAAGGACAGACTGACTTAGATTTAGTTTTCAGAAAAATCCACATCTTTAAAAATAAGGCAACTAACAACAACAACAACATAAGATAGAAACATAGAAACAAAGAGAATCAGAAGGGGCCTTCCAGGCCATCTTGTCCGACCCCCGGCTCCAGCCAGCTCCGCTCACAACATGCCCACCATGTGCATGCCTAGCCTACCCCTGAGCACCCCCACCGATGGGGTCTCAACCACCTCCCGTAGAAGCCCATTCCATACCCTTGGGGTCCAAAATGTCAGGAAGTGCTTCCTGGAATCTAAATGGAACCTTGGTTCCCTGAGCTTCACTCTGTTGGAGTGGGTCCTGCCTTCCTCTGCAGGGGAGAACAGGTCTCTACCCACCACTGTGTGACACCCCCTCATGTACCTGTAAATCGCCAACAGATCCCCTCGAAGTCTCCTCTTCTCCAGGGAGAAAAGACCCAGTTCCCTCAGTCTCACTTCATATGGCTTTCCCTGAAAATTGGCCACCAACCTTGTGGCCCTACGCTGCACTGATTCCAACCTGGCTATATCCTTCCTGTAACGAGATGTCCAAAACTGAACACAATACTCTAGTTGTGGGCGCACCAGAGTCGTATAAAGTGGTAGTAATGCCTTTCTTTATGTAGAAGTCACACTTCTGTCTATGCAACCAAGGGTGGTGTTTGCCCTCTTGACCACACCACATTGCTGACTCATGTTTAGCCTGCAGTCAACCAGCAACCCAAGATCACTTTCGCAAGTGCTGCTCTCCAGCCACTTGTCACGTAACCTGTACTTATGACACCCATTCCTATGCCCCAAGTGCAAGACTTTGCACTTATCCATATTGAACGACATCCTGTTGTCTCCTGCCCACTTCCATAGTCTGTCCAGATCCTTTTGGATCTGGAGTACCTGCGCCTCAGTTGTGACCACTGCCCCAGTTTTAGTATCGTCTGCAAATTTGATCAGCAGACTGTTCACCCCTTCTTCCATGTCACTGATAAAAAGATTAAACAGGATCAGCCCCAGGACAGAGCCCTGGGAGACCCCACTTGTCACTGGCCGCCATCCCGATGATTCCCCACTAATGGTTACCCTCTGCTTTCGGTCAGTCAACCATGCTCTAATCCATCAGACAGTACTTTGGTCTATCCCAAAACTCCTCAGTTTCTCAACCTGGATGTCATGGGCCACTTTGTCAAAGGCCTTGCTGAAATCCAGGTAAACCACATCCACTGCATCCCCTCCATCTAGCCACCTCGAACCTTGTCATAGAATTCCACAAGAACTTGTTTTTGCAGAACCGTGTTGTGTGGCTGCCAGCCTCCCTTCCCTATCTATCATCACTAGATCTCTCGCTATTATGAGCCTTTCCATTGTTTTTCCTACATTGGATGTAAGGCTAACTGGTCTGTAATTTCCCATGTCCCTTCTACTACCCTTTTTGAAAATTGGGACCACTGATGCCACCCTCCAGTCCTCTGGAACTTCACCCATTCTCCACAAGGCCTCAAAAATGGAGGCCAGTGGGCGTGAGAGAACCCCTGCCAACTCTCAAAGTTTTCTTGGGTGTAACATGTCAGGGCCCAGAGCTTTTGTAACGTTCAGTGCCTTGAGGAGCCCCTCGACTTCTAGGGGGGTAACTCTAATCTGTGCCCCTAAGTCCCTAGCTTCATCTAATATCCTATGTGGATCTTCCCTGTCCTGCTTTGGGGAGAACACAGAGGCAAAATGGTCATTTAGCATCTGTGCCTGTTCCCTTGCATCAGTCACTGTCTCCTCTTCCTCTTTATTTAGTGGTCCCACTACCTGTCTCCCCTTCCTCTTGCTATTTACATGCTGATAGAAGCCCTTTTTGTTGCTCTTGATATTCTTTGCAAGTCTCAACTCATAATCGGCCTTAGCCTTGCAAAGAATCCTTCTGCAACGGGCCTCCTCCCCCCGGTATACCCTTTTGTCTATTTGCCCCAGTGCCCATTTCCTACAGAGGTTCCTCTTGCATCTAATCCTTCTAACCGCCTTCTTTCACATCCATAGCAGCACTCTTCTTCACCTCCTTGCCTTACTAACTAGAGGTATCATCAAGGCTAGCATCTCCAAAACCTCCCTTTTGTGTGCCATCCATCCCTCCTCAACTCCCTTGACTTCCAGTAACTTATCCCAGGAGACTTTCTCCAGTCTGGCTTTCAGTTGGTCAAAGTTGGCCCTCTTGAAGTCCCATCTCAAGCTGACCTGGAGCGCAATAACATACCCCCACTGTCAGGTCCCTCTCCCTGTCAAAACCTCTTACTTTCACTCAGACTGCCTCTACCAGATCCCCATATGCGTTGTAGTCTATCTCACTGGATCCTATCCCTTCCCTGACATATAAAGCCCTGTCCCTCTTTCTCTTCCAGTCCTTTCTAAACAGGTGATACACCTCTGTGTTTACATTCCAGTCTTGCCTTTCATCCCACCAAGTCATACCCTCCTATTCCCAGGAGACTTCAAGCTCTTCCTGTTTATTACCCATGCTCCTAGCACTGGTGTACATGCACCTCAACTCCTTCCCACCCCTTCCTTTCTTTGGGATCCCCAGCCTCCTCCTCCCTCCCATCTTCCCTGATACCGCCCCCTCTTCATAGGAGTCCTGTCAGCCCCTGCAGTACCACTAACACCCTGCTCCCAGAGCCCTGATCCTCTCCCCTCACTTGTCCAGTGCAAACAAGTTTCTGGGTGGCCTGAACGCCCCCCCCCCCCCCTGCTCAGTTTAAAGTCTTCTGGACAAAGCTTACTAGAGCATTTCCAAAGGACCTTTTCCCTGTCTTCATGAGGTGCAACCCATCCTTTGCCAGAAGTCTAATAGCAAGAAACTGGGTGCCATGGTTGAGGAATCCAAAGCGTTCCTTCTGGCACCACACCCTAAGCCAGTTGTTCACCTTGGCAATCCACCTTTCCCTGCCTGGCCCAAATCACTGGACTGGTAAGATAGATGAGAATGCCACTTGGGCCTTTAGGTCTCTGAGTTTCTTCCCCAAGGCCTCCAAGTCCCTGGTGCCTCCACCTCCACCCTGCCTGGCTATGTAATTTGTCCCCACATGGATCACCAGAAGTGGCTGGTGATCCCTGGAGCAAACAAGATGCTCCACTCTATCCTTCACATGCTGGATGCATGTGCCCAGCAGGCAACAGACCTCTCTTGCCTCAAGATCAGGGCAGCACACCACCGCCTCAGTGCCCCTCAGCAGGAAGTCCCCGACGACAATCACCCACCATCATCTCTCCTTGGTCATGGCAGGCAGCCGTGTCCTGGCCCTCACCTCTCCTGCAGTGGCCCCTTGGCCGCATGTGGTCCCAGACTGGGGGTCCTGTTGGTCCCCCAAGTCCTCATCAGCCCCAGCCTCCCCAAGTGGAGAGAACCTGTTTCCCAGCTCCAGTTCGGTGCCAGGAGGAGGAGGAGGCCGTGCTGGCCTCCTCCTTCTGTGGGTGACATGCCTCCATGTCTCCCCAGCTGTTCCTCCTGTGGCCCCTCCCTCAACCCTCTGTCTGGAGGGGGGCTGCTCCGGGGGGGCCTGGAGAGTCCTCTCGGCCCTCAGACATCTCACCTCCTCCTCTAGGAGAGTCACAAGTATGCACCAAGGGCAAGTGTATCCCTGCCTCTCCTGAGAGAGAAGGGCAAAAATATCACAGAAAACAGCGACACCTGTGATTCCCACCAAGGCCATCTCCTGGCCTGACATTGGGAACCCCTCAGAGACCCTACCTTGTTCCCCCACCTTGTCTGTCCTGCACTACTGCTCATTCGCCCATTTATCCTAGACAAACACACACACACACGGACAAAATAAAAATAAAATAAAATAAAATCCTGCTGCCAGGGAAGGGAGTCCCTGGGCAGCCCGGGCTGCAGCAAAGGGGCACAGACAAGGGACAATGCCCCTATAAGCCTCACAGGCCACTGGCCCCGCCCCTCTGCTTCCTCCTGGCCTCTCTGGCCCTGCCTCCCTTCCTCTCCGCTGCTCCTGCCACCCACTCCTCTGCCCAGCTCCTGCCTTGCCGTCCTCCAGCCCCCTGGCCACCCTCAGCACACTCTTCCAGCCTCTGCCTCTTGCTCCTCTGCTCTGCCAAGACGCAAGAGCCAAAAGGGATGTGAGTGCCTAATGGTTCTTATTGTTCATATTAAGCACAATTAGAGGGCAATTCTAGACAAGCTTTAATTAGAATGGGTTCTGTAAAGTTTAAGAATGTTTCCCCAGCCTGGATGTTTTAAGGACTGCAGATCAAGGCAATAGCAATATACAGAACCCTCTTGTCATTTATGCTACAAACACTATTAGCAGAAAGGCACGCTTTTGTCCAGCTGCTTACAATTCTATTACGTCACACTTTGAGAAACTTTGATCTGAAACTTTGGACCCTTAAAGCAGAGCATTACAACTTCCAAGCTGAAGGCAAAGGTTGAAAAGCCATCTCCAAGTCTAGAATCGCTATTACATATTAAATCCGGCTTTTCCGTAAAAGAAACAACTACCATGGGTGAAGTACAGGACATACAACATACGGCCAAATTTAATGTTTTCCTCCGGCAAAAAGAACCGCCTTCTAGCTAACGAGCTCTGAGACTAGCTCGGATAACAACAAATACGGCCTCGTATTTCAGAGAGCTTCGGCCATTAGGCTGTATAAAAATAAACTGAATAAGTATTTCATTTACTTTAAGGCGTTTCTCCTGACGCCTGAGAGTGACAGACTATAATCCCCACAATAACATGCCCCACATAAAAGAAAACGCCACGAAAAAAGGCCTTACAAACGCCTTGAAGGTTAACAGAACATAGTACAGTACAAGCTTTCTAAAAAATCACCGCCCAGTTCGACTAAAACAAAGGAATCATAAGTTGCGTTGCTAACTGGGATTTGTAGTTTTCCGGAGATGAAGCGGAAAGCCTCCCGCAATGACGTCAGAATCAGACCAAGCAGAAGGAGCTGAGCCGGGAGCGTCGCTTGCACAGGCGCAAGTTCGGTAGGCGGGGCGAAGGGATTCTCCGTGGTAAAGTGGGAGGAGCCGTTTGAGGTGATAAGAGAGGCTGTCGCGGGCTCCGTCACTTGCAATCTCGGATGTTAGCGTGACGCCCTTGCTGATTGGCTGGCCTTCCTCTTTGCCGACGGAGGACCCGCCGCCTCCGGGCCAAGTGGACTGTCGCTGGTGCTCCGTTGGTGTTGGGCGAGGCGGCAGCCATGGGTTCCCGGGCGTCCACGCTGCTTAGAGACGAGGAGATCGACGAGATCAAGAAAGAGACGGGCTGTGAGTACCGACAAAAGCTGGGCGTCATGGTGGGGCGGCGGGGCCTTGGGTTGCGGGCCGAACCAGCTTCCTCTTCGTCGGGGTTGAAATTGTGATCACCGATGGAATGGGCGAGCCTTTCTGCCTCTTCATCCTTTCCAGCCAAAGGCTGTGAGAGCCAAAAGCGACGCGCTTCGTCACCTGTGTTTTTCACGGACGTAGCGTGAAGCCTCGATAGTGGCCTCCTCGTCGCCTTGACTGGTGAGGGACCAGCAGGTCACCCATGGCTCCCCTTGCCATGCCTTTTTGGCCCTTCCTGCCGTCAAAGGTTGCTTGAGGCGCCTGTGGAGTCCTGCCCAGAAGAACCCGATGCAGCTTTAGTCTGGGTTCCTGAAACTAAACTTTTGTAGGAACCACATAGCCTGTCGCAAGACCTAGTCTGAGGTGGCACCTGCCGAAATTTCTCTTGCTAGCAGCTCTTAAAGGTACAGGCTGCATCTGCCGCGTGATTCCGGAGGTCATGTTCCCACACACAGCTCAAGGGCGGGCCTCCTTCTGTTCAGCGGACACACTTTTTCTCCCTCCAGGTGCCTTAGTACCAGATTCTTCATTGTGTTTTAAATGATGGTATAGAGCACGTGTCGGTACACTAGTTACTGATTTGATCAGCTTGTCACAATTACATGTAGAAGACTTTTCTGATTTGGGAGTAAAGTCATGTGGATTTTTTTATTTTATATGGAATGATCATTTGGTTATTTAAAAGTTACTGGCATTGAAGGTCATGCAGATGTGGGTTCCCTAATGTCTGACAGGTATAGAAGACCTTTTTGTTGAAGTTTCATAATCAAATATTTTGTGAGATCGATGTGTATGTGCCATTTTGGGTAAAGACACTTAACATGGCAAGGAGTGGGTTACCAATAATTTGATTATTTTAACCAACCTTAATGGAATTTTTGTACCGCTTGATATCCCATAAGTATTGTTGCAAGAATAGTTGGCTTTTTCCAGAACCTCATTTATTTATCTGATTGCTGGTTCTGGTAATACAGTAGAGAAGGAAAAGAGTTCAGCATATGCATTCTCTTAGTAGTACTTTTGTTCCAGAGGTAAGCTTTGAGAACAGCTTCTGCCTCAAAGTAAGCCTTATTGTCTGGTAATGTTTCAACCTGTATCAAAGGTATTTGTTACATTCTGAAACAAAAAATAGTTCACTGGATTAGGAGGTGTCTCCCCACAAAACCTGCTTTTGAAGATTTAAGTGCTTCTCCTTAGATCAGAGGTGTCCAACATGGAGCCTGTGGTTATCTGAACATTTAAAAATCATTTTTAATATATGGGTTTGTATGAAATGTCCTAAATTTTCTAGCAAGTATCCATAGGTTTTAACAAAGGCAGACCAAATATCCGAAAAGTATCTGAAGTTGGCTTCTGTATACCACCTGTTTGTATATTGAAAACATTGTAAGGCTCTTCATCCATTGGGTTATGGGAGATGAGTGTTTATCTTTCCAGTTATGCAGTATGAATCTTGTAACTGTTAAAAGTATGGAAAGATTTCCCATTCCATTTGTTAATTTCTATAAATCAGACAAATAATTTAAAAGATCATGTATACCAGTGAATCATAAACTGTTTCAGTATAAAATTTGTATGTGTAATAAGCTCCTTTCCAAAAAAAAAAAAAAAGCAACCATAGGACATTGCAAAAACATAAGTTTTAAAGGAGCAGTAGTATTGCACTACTAGCAATTAGCAGAATTAAATAATTGCTTATTAGAGAGAGATAGATATAACACAAGTTTTTGCCGAATAAAATGGAGATGAAGGCAGGTAGATGCCAAAGTGGCAGTCTGTTTTGTAGGTGTTCCACAGAAGTTTCAAATTCACAAATGTGCTTACAGGTCCAAAAAGGTTGGGGACCCTGCCTTATGTAGCATACCATATTGATGGTAAGGCAGTAACCAAGTGTAATGGAGCAATCTAAGGATGCCTGCTCAAAAGTAAGTCCACAGAATTTAATGGTGCTTATCTGCAGCAGAAGTGTGTTTTAAAAGAATGTCTGCATTTATCTTTTTAAGACGTTTCTGTATTCCCTTTCTGGGGAAAAACAAATAATGGTGGTTTATAGAAGAGGGTATTCCTGTCAACTCCATTGTACATGTGGGAACCACCACTTGCATATTGGTTTTGTACTCTGGAAATGTTTGTTTTGGATCAGGGCAGGTTGATGGAGCTCCATTAATGTCTTAAATATGTCTTGACCCATTTCCTAAATAGTGGATAGCGCAGTACTTACATGTTTCCTTATTTAATTCTGCCCACCTTTGCTCTCTCTTTCTTGGGGTGGAGTTTTAGATTAGTAATTTATTCGGACAGGAACCTGTCCTGTATTCTGTAAAATCCTTGACACATTGATGGCACATTATTTACAAATAACAAAATGCCTCCTTGACACGCATTGGAGCATTAAAAGACAAGTTAACTAAGGAGTGTAGTCAGTTTTTGATACCTCCATACTTAGTTAAACGAATAACACTGGGAGACTTTTCTGTTCTGTTTTTTATGCATTTTAAAATGTTGCAGCCTACAACTTAAACAAGCTAATGAAATATTTGTGATTTCTGTTATACAACTGGAGAACAGAGGCATATGGCAACTTGCCTAAGGCCTCATGAAGAATTTAGGGCAGAGTTGGAACCCTAATGTGGATCTTCGAAAAGAGTGGTATTCACTAGGTAACACTACAGTAGGAAACAATTGTGATCTTAAACTATAAGAGGTTAATACAGATTCCAACAGATTATTGTTCTGCCCCAGTTCTTGTTAGAGAAGCATATCTAATCCAGATGAGGGAACATGAATGCTGTAGCACCTGTCCATGTGTTCCTTAATTGTCCCCAATAGTGGCACTAACATAGCCATGGATGATGATAGTTCATCTGCAGGTACTGAATTTCTTGTGTGTACTATGGGGCTGCTTTGCCTGTACAATAGGAAATCTTGAGATAACAATAATTCAGACAGGACATACCATTACTGGGACTAGCAATGTGATGATGCAGGTGGTACTATTTGGATTATGGGGTTCTTGCATGATTGCCTTCTCCTTTTACCAGTCGCTTAACTATGTGAAAGAAGCTAAAAATATACAATGGTTTCCTGGAATTACTTTGCATGGAAGCAGCTACTGTAGTTACCATAGGGATAGTATGTCAGTGCAGATAGGAGGCTGACTGATAACAGTATTGGGACATCATGTACCTTGACCTGCAAAAAGCTATTTGACAAAGGTCCTTGCCAAAGTTTCCTGAGTAAATTTAGCAATCATGGAATAGGAAAATTAAGTACTGGTAACTAAATAAAGATCAGGAAGGATAGAGGAAGAATAAATGGACAACTCTCACTATTAAGGAATGTAGGTAGTGGGGCTCTGCAAAGATTTGTGCTGTGACTAGTGTTTTTAACTTCGCTATCGATCTGGGCTAAGGGGGAACAGGAAGATGGTCAAGATTGCAAATGGCAACACATTATTCATGGTAGTAAAAACAAAAGGAATGTGAAGAACTCTGTAAAGGTTTCTGAAAACTGAAGGAATGGGCAACAACATGACAAGTGTAGCTTAATGCAAGTAAGGGTAAACTATTGTATGTTAAAACAACAAATTCTGACTTCATGTATACACTTAGTTGGTGGTGACTGACCAAGAGAGAGCTGCTGGGTCAGGGTGGATAGCTCAGTAAAAATATTGACCACCTGTGTAGCTGCAATGAAGCACAACAATTCCATGTTAAGAATCATTAGAAAGGGGACTGAAAAAATAAAGCTGCCAGTACTATAATGCCTTTATACAAAACTGTGGTGTGATACCATTTAGAAAATGTGTAACATTCTGGTTGATGCACCTTAAGGAGGATACTGTAGACCGGGAGGTAGGGAGAGTTGTACCAACCACTTGATCATTTCAGTTGCTTTTTTTCTCCCTGAGGAAGTATGGCATTATTTGGGTCTATTTAATTTAGAAAGATGGGGAGTAAGCAGAGGTATGGTAGAAGTATATAATGCTAATCATGGTAGTGTTCTCTTTCTAGTGCCCTCCAAACACTGCAGACATCTCAGACTCACAATGCACTCCTGTTTACAACTTTATTCAAAGTATATGTGAAGTGCTAGTTGAGTAATACTGGCACTCAGGAAATCATTAGGTGCAACAGACATGTATCTTGGTGTGAAACATTTTCATGTACCTGTACAGACATGTAAGGTGAATAGAACCATATTGCCCCAATTATCTAATGTTTTTGCAAGCCCAGCTATATGCCAGAAACTGGAAGTTGTTGTAATTTTAAGTGCAATGTGACTTGCATACCATGGTGCCTAAGGCGCCCCTCAGTGAATCTACTTGCAGTTAATAAGTGACAATAAAGTCAGAGTGAAAATAGTTTGGGTCTTGCAAATCAAATGAAATTAACTAAAACTTATGTATGGCTTGTCTAGGAACTGTTGGAGAAATCCAAATAAATCTTTATAGAGAAAGTTTTTTTATATTTGCCTTTGTGATATAAAAACAAACCTGCAGTGTCCCTGCTCTTCTTGTCCAGGAAGAAACAAAATTCCAATCCAGGATCCTTTTTTTTTTTTTTTTTTGGTTCCCTGAAGCATTATTAGTCATCTGTTCCTTTAAGAGACTGAAACTCTCCACTTACCTGAGTGCTACATTTAGTTGCAAAGTTAGTCCTCTGTGGAATGTGGCTCCCAAGGAAAGCTAGTGGAAACCTTCTGCTAGCAGAAGCTGCTCTGACTGGTTTTTCTTGTCTTGTAATCAGACTTGCCTAGATGTTTAGAGTCACACCAAGACCTGTAATAATCCATGTGCCTTTCTGATTGTCATGTTACCATCCTGTAATCACTAATATTTGCTGTACTATTCTGTTATGTCATCTCTGCAGTTTTCTCACATTGTTTTAACTATGAATACATTTTGTACCCATTATTTGCTCATCATCAACCCTGCTCCCTGTGTATGTGACTCAGAACCTATAAAACACTTTGTAAATGTTCTGGAATTTGGTAGCTGGTGGCGTACCTCTACCAGGCAACACTGTGGTAGGTTTGTACTCTGAAGAGGGGTTTACTTGGATTGTTCAAACCGATAAAATAGCTGAGGTTCAAGGTGAAGGTGACTTCCTGTGGATCCGAGTGTACATTTTTGTGGCTGCTCTTCTGGGAGTCCCTGACAGAACAATGATAACATATGTACTTTTTAAAAAAAATTCAGCTTGTTCTTTGGAAAGTAGTTCTTTGGCTGTGAAATGTAAATTAACTGTTTCTTAAACAAGAACATATATCACAAAGTCCCAGATTAAATGCTTCAGCAATCAATCTTCAGCTAAGAAGTTTTATTTTCAGTCTAAAATATTTGCACTTTATAAGATTTGCTTGGATGATTTTCTTGGTTAATATTAATAGATCAAGGCGAGCCAAATCTTGTGATTGTAGGTTCTTGAATTTGATTTCCCCATGAATAAAGACTGTTTCACAGCTTTGTTTTAAAACTCAGTGTGACTGGGGAATAATAGAAATTAAACTAACATGTATTTAAGTAAGAGATCCATGGCTAGTGACCATGTGTATCAGAAAGGCCGGTCTGCTTGTCCCTGATGGAGGGTAGGGGAAAATAACCTTTTCTTCACATGTGGACCTGGCATCAGGGCTACTTGTTTGATCTCCCAGTGCTAGCACCATAGATCAAATAAATATATGAGCATTTATTGTGATCGTGCTGAACTAGTGCTGATCCTAAAAACAAATTGTCTTGTTTTCCTTGGAACTAACAAGACTTTTTTCTCAGTTTAGAGTACCTTAAAATAATTTGGAATTGTTTTAATATTTGGCAGCTGAGAGATTTAAAGGGCTTTGTGCTGAAAGAAAACTAGATTGGCCAAAGTTGAAAGAAGCACGATTCACTGCATATAATGCTGGTAGTAGATGCCTCCATGAAAGCATTAAGTAAGGGGACAATGGTTGTGCAAACAGCAAATTTTGGGCTGGAAACCATTAGGAAAGGATTCTATACTGAACCTGCCAGTGTATCTTGATACGAATCTATTGTGCAACCATGCTTGAAATACTGCATAAATCATAGGAAGTATGAGGAAAGTTTACCATGTGTGGGGCTTTAGGTTAGAAAAGGAGCAAGTAAAGGTATATAAAGGTATTTAATTATGTATGGTATGGAGAAAGTGGGTTGGAAAAGTTTTTCTTCGTACAACACTAGATGTAGGCTGGGAGTTTCAGGACGACAAGATAAAGGGAATACTTCTTCACATCACATAAAGTATCAAGTTTGTTTCTACATATATTACCTCCAGTAGCAAAAGTAGTATGGATACCATTGTTGGGGAACAAGTACCAGAATGGTACTATTATACTTGTGACCTGCTTATGGTTACTCATGGACATCTGCTCACTCTGGCAACAGAGTACCACATGGTCAGTTGCCCCAGTAATCCTGGCTGAAAGAAGTGGCTGAAGAGATGGGGAGGTGAGATGGGAAGCCATGACTTACTCACTTTGTGCCCCTTATCTTTAAAATAAGAACCCAATGACTATATATACATGATTGAGGTTGACATGTGAATAAACAATTGTGCATGCCATCAACATACTTGTTTGACCCTGAGATATTGAGTTGTTCAACTTAAGATGCTGACAACATTAAAAACCTGAATATTTCAATGCCATTGTTCAGCCTTTACAAAGGAGGAATGTTATGGGGCATTTAGCAACAGCAGCCAGGGTATCGGTAACAAATTAGAGTCATCTAAATACTCTTTTTATATGCTCCTATTTCATTTATCTTGGTAATAGCAAATAATATTCACTCTGACTTGAAAGAACTGTCTGAGCAAGCCATTATGTTTGCAACTTCTGATTCTATCATAAGAATCTATGAAGAGCCACATTGGAGCAGGGTCCATAGTCTAGTACTCTGTTTATGCAGTTGTCAGCTAGCTGTCACAGGAAACCCACAAGCAGGACCTGTGTACGATAACTTCCTGCCCATATCCCTCAGCAACTGGCATATGTAGGCATAGTGCCTATGATAATAGCATAGAACCATTCAGAATTAATAGCCTTGATACTTTTCTTCTCCATTAATTTATCTAACCCCTTTTAAAGCCCTCAGAATTGGTAGTCAGTGGCTCTTGTGGGAAGTGACTTCTGTAGTCTAACCATATGCTGTGTGAAGAAGGACTTTTATCTATTCTGGATCTCCCAAATCACAACTTCATAGGAGGTCCCTGGGTTCTAGTATTCTGAGAGGGGAAAAAATGTTTCCCCCTCTGCTTTCCACACCATGCATAATCCTGTACAGCTCTTTCACGTCCTGTCCTTACTTGCCTTTTTCTAAGCAAAATAATCCTGAATGTACTTGCTGCAGCCTGACAGCATTTTAGTTGCCCCTTATACCATTTTTTCTAATTCTGCAATATTCCTTTTTATATGTTGACCAGAACTGTACACACTGTACAGAACTGTACACACTATTCCAAGTGTGGTTGCATCATAAATATGTGTAAGGGCAGCATGATATTGGCAATTTTGTTTTGAATGCTTTTTCCCAAATATGCCTGAAGTAGAGTTTGCCTTGTTCTCTGCAGTGCACACTGGGCTGTCATTCATCAAGCTGCCCACCACAACCGCAAGATCTCTTTCTTGTGGTAACTAGTAGCTCAGATCCCATCAGTGTATACTTGAAGTTGGGAGTTTTTGCCCCAGTGTGCATCCCTTTATGGCTTGCTACATTGAATTGCATTGGTTGTTTTCATGCCCATTGTCCCAGTTTGGAGAAATCTTTTTAGAGATCATCACAATTCTTTTATATTTTAACCACCCTAAATAATTCTGTGTTGTCAACAAACTGGGCCACGTCACTGCTTATTCCTAATTGTTTGTTTGTTTGTTTATTTTATTCTTTGGCCAGGGCCACTTAAATTTTACTGTTATACTGCTAAATTATATTGTTTTATATTATGTAATTTATTTATGATTGTGAGCCACCCCGAGGCTTCGGCGAATGGGGCGGCATAGAAGTCCTCTAAATAAATACATACATACATACATACATACATACATACATACAGGCAGGCAATTTATAAATTACTTGACAGACAGTAGTCCTTTACAAGCTGCCTTGAAGAAAGCACTACAGCTTTTCCTTTTATGACAGTAGATACATTTGTGAGGAAGGGAAGCACCGTATTTTTCGCTCTATAAGACGCGCCTGACCATAAGATGCACCTAGTTTTTAGAGGAGGAAAACAAGAAAAAAAAATATCCTGAATCAAATGGGCACATAATCACAGGCACATTCCCCATCACTTCCACATGGGCTGCACATCTGACAGACTTACTGCACGCACATATTCGCTCTATAAGATGCACATACATTTCCCCTTTTGAGGGGGAAAAAGTGCATCTTATAGAGCAAAAAATACGGTAACTAGCTGGACTCCTTCACCACTAACAAGAATTCAGGTGAATATTGCAGCAAAACAATGACGGGAACATACTCAGATTTTCCTAGAAAGAATGAAACATGGATAAATACCACCTTAAGTGATAAGAGTGAGCAATAAGCTTATGAAATCATGGCTTTCTAAGCAATACTGGAAGTTAGAACGTTTGAAAAAATACATAAATATTGGCTAAATGGACATTACTTCAACAGTAGATTGCCATACCTGTTTGCGGTAATTTGTATCACATTAACCAAATATATGGTTAATGGAAGTACAGAGATAGTGGAAGGTATTTCCAGTAGGGTATGTAAGAGTCTTCTAAGCTCTGATCCCTGAATTGTAATTAGATAACTCTCTATTCTGTGATGTGGATTAATTGTCATCGATGTTGTTGCCCAATTTCAGCCTAATCTTTTTTTTTTTTTTTTTCAGTTTCTCACAGTCAGATCACTCGTCTGTACAGCCGATTTACCAGCCTGGACAAAGGAGAAAATGGCACTCTTAGGTAGGTACTCAGAATACAACTATTGTGTTGACTTCTCCAGTTCATGTAAACTGGCTCTCCCCAATTTTTCTTGAATTTTCTGTCCAGGGCTGTCTCTGCCTCACATCCTAGGCTGCTCCTGAGAATTCTCAAACCTTCAGAAAAAGGTGTTCATGAGGATAATGAAAAGACAACTCGGGGAATTCCTCTTTTGCAAGTGGTATCTTGGCTCACGAATGCCTCAGTTCATGACCAAATTGGGTTGCAAAGAAAAATTTCATAAAAATTTTGACTCATGTTGTGAACTGTGCATTGGATGGCAACCGTGATCGCAGTCGTCTCTCCCCCCACCCCACCCCCAAGTAGGGAGATGGTCACGATCATGCTGGAGGCAGGGGGCAGATGGCCGAGATCTTGCCCAGCTTTTCTGCAGGAGCACAACCGCGATCTTGGCCATCTGCCCCCCAGCATGCCTGCGATCACGCCTGTCTCTCCCCCCCACACCCACGCAGGCGCGATCGCAGGCATGCTGCAGGGGAGTGGGGAGATAGCCGCCCTCGTGCTTGGTGGGGTGGGGGGAGATGGCCCAGGATCTTTGTTGTTCTTTGTCAGTTTGCTTCACATTTTTCTGATTTAAAAAAAACTAGTTACGGAACAGATTAATCTTATTTACATTGACCCTTATGGGGAATTTTGACTTGACTCATGACCAGTTTGAGTCACGACCAGAGTACTGGAACTGATTAAGTTCGTGAGTCAAGGTACCACTGTATTGGATAGAATTCACAGTATATTAGAATTTAGAATAGCTTCAAGGTTTAGCACCAATTTTCACAAAAGAATGGTTAATGTGATGGATAAACTACATGGTACATACGACTCCACATAGCAGTAGTTGTGCCTTCCTTACCCTCTCTTTCCTGTTCCACATCTCTCCTGAACACTTCTCTCCACCCCACCCTTGATTATCAGCCCTTAGTCAGCATTCCAAAGTATCTTGAGTGTGTAAACTCATCTGTGCTTTAATACATACTAACAGACCAACTATGGCCTAAGCATTTTAGATAAGAGTCTATTTTATTGTTTCCTAATCTGTTAACCTTTATGGTGCTTTGCTTTATGGTTACTAGTTTTTCCACAAATTTTATTATGGCTACCCTTCTGGAAGTTTAATGCGTATAGTTAACCACTGAGTAGTTATCTTCCCTATATTTTGAGTCCTTGCTGCTGCTGCTGCTGTTACTGTTACATTTATATTCCGCTTGTTTTCCTTTTGTGAGGAACCCAACACAGCTTACATAGCTCCATTTTATCCTCACAAATATCCTGTGAGGTGGTTAAGCTTAGGATCTGTAACTGGCCCAAAGTCGCCCATTGTGCTCTATGGTCAAATGAGGACTAGATCCCAACTCTCCCTGATCCTCAGTCCACCAAACTAACCACCATACAACACTGGCTTGCAAGAGAAGTTCATGAAGAAAAGATTGTATTCAGTATAGAGATGCCAAATTGCCAGTGTGGAGCTAACATTGAGATTAGCGAGAGAAGTCAAGAGTCAAAGCTCTGCTTTGTTGCAAAACTTCCTGGGCAAACCAGTATTTCTGAGGTTACTAGACCTCTCACAGTTGCTGAAAGGCTAAAATACCAATTGTGTATTCTTGTTCTTGGTTCACCGTGGGCATTCCAGAAGTGCTTTGGGTGTAGGCTCTTCTCTCTGTTTAAATTCACTTTAGGAAGTGTAGGATATCAATGTCAATACAAAATGCTTTTGAAAAAGAAATTCAGTATGTTTGTATGTATGACATTTGCACCAGCATATTGATGAATATTTTCTTTAATTCTACAAAATATATGGCTCATGTTTCTAAATTAATTATTCTTCCGTTCATTGTAAAAGAACGAAACTGTAGGTGCAAGTTGATATGCTTCTGAAATTGGAAGAGAGGAAAGTCTAGAAAGTCTTAGTATATTAAAAACATATAAATTGCTTGCAGTTCAGTAAAAAAAATAAATGTATGTATATCAAACTTTAAAGTTAAGCTGGGTAACTTGCCCATTTATATTCTGACCCTAGAAGATGCTTGCTGAAAGAATGTCTTCTGGGCAATCTGTATGGTGGTCTTAGTCATTTAAAAGCTTCCTGCTGATGTGCTGTTTCAGTTAGTAGCACTGAGGTTTCAGAAGAATGCACTGGTTTTGCAGGAGCTTGGTCAATCTTCTTCTGATCGTCTTGGTCTTGGTCTTGTCTACAAATGCAGCTATGGAATATTTTGTGGATGCAGTTGTTAGCATTGAATATGCTGTTGCCGATAGGGAAACTCTTTGTGATGATGCTATTGTAGAAGCAGCAATACAGAAATATGTTTTGTCATTTTAGTAGTATTTGGAAATGCATATTTCATTTGACAGAATTTGCAAATCTTTTGCTGCAGAATTCGCATTGTGAAAACGCCTCTGAATTTTCAGCTTTCTAAATTCAGATAAATTTAAATATTTACCTTTAAGATAAGTATACTTTCAGCTGCATCTTTGTGACTCTGTACTTTCTTTCAGTCTTTTGAGGGCCAGTCAAAAGGACAGAAACAGATTAATGAACTAGAGTGACAAGAGCAAGCCCACAAATAAAGCAGCAAATGAAATTTTTCTTTTGTGACAACAGTGGTGGCCATGAAAGGCAGAAATAAATCTTGCTCCTGCATTTCTGAGTTGTAATCTCATTTTGCAATTTAGGAATGGCTTTTCCTTCAGACAGAAGAACTGCAATGATCTGATAGTGTTCATAATGTTACATAAACATTTGTTACATAGTTCTTAGAAAATATTTGCAGAAATAAAACACTTTGTTTAAAACATATTATTCAGTATTCTGAAAGAAAATATTGCATGATCCATTTTGCAGTGTGAGGTGGAAAACAAAAAAGTCTGAAGGAAAACATACCTTTTCTGAGCCTTCGCCTCTCTGGTTTTCACATCTCTAGCTTAATTGTGAACAGAACAAGAAGCTCCTGTTCTCACAGCTATGAGGGGCAAGGGAAGCACGTGAATCAGAGGTTTGCTGTGGCTTATATGCATAATATTAAATTGGATGTAGAGTATTTACATGTGAACTGGCTCAATGAGTATCTGATGAAATTGTAAAGCTTCAAGTTTAATGTGTAGTAACATGAAATAATGTCTGGTTTTTCTTTATGATAAACTATTTTTACTGGAGAATATGCACAAATGTTCTTGTGCCTTAAATGTCTTAATTTGTATTGAAGTCCCAAGGTTGTATCCCACATTATTTGTCTGCCAGCAGAATGGGACTGTGGAAAGACAGATTTACAGGCCCCGCAGCAACCTGCTGCAGGAATGGGGGCACACAGAGGTGGTGCAGAAGGAACAGTCCCATCCCACTGGGTAGCATTGGATGAAGCCCATTGCTTTTAGGTACCTCCTCATGGTCACAGCTGAGATGGGTAAAGTTGTTATTTTTAATAAGTTATTTCCGTGAATAGCAGTGAATGTGAGCTTTGGTTAATTTCTGGAGTAATTTTACCACCTCCAAAAATAAATGTGAGGAAACACCTATTTTTGGTTGCAAATAAGCGCTTCAAATATTGTCATAACATTAAGACTCAAAAGGATGACAATGTGGTAATGTTTTAAGTATTTTATATAAAATGTAGAGATAGCCTGAAAGTTTTTAAGAAAACATAAACACAATCAATTTAGTTAAGATTTATAGAATATCAAAACTTAGTACTGGTGTGCCCTGTGGATAAAAAACCACTTTATTCATGTACACAAACAGATAACATAAACTAAGTATGTGATTGCTGTATGCAGAACATATGATTATTTGAATTAAGTGAAGTTTCATAAATAGTAGTGCCCTTAGCTGTGCAGGGTTAATAACTTTTATCCAAATAGCTTTTATTCAAACAAGTTGTTCCACATTCCACTGTGAGTAGGTGGGGCTTGCTTCCCACAATCACTGTTACTTGCAAAAAGAATAATGTTATCAGGTTTTGCTGAAAGTGCTTAAGGCTGGCTTTGTTTTTCTGCCAGTACAGACTTTCAAGAGTTGAGAATCAATACAGTTCCAGTGCCTTTTCATTGCTTTGTTTGCCACCACTAAGAAAGCAATTAAGGCTTTATGGAGGAAATCTTTATTGGAATCTTTGAAAATACTTAGCCTAGGCCCAGATGTAAAGTAATAGTTTGATTTGCAATTGCCATTATTTTGATACTAATCTTGCAAATTGGAATTTCAGAAGTTAAGTTTGTTATATGTGAGTATAGTTAGGCCCTTGCACCTTCCCCAGAAGTACAAAGTACTGCCATGACAGGGCTACTTTAATCTGTGTAAGGTACTACCTGTAGTGCAATTTTACGAAGATTTCAATAATAGAATTGGTTCCATTAGTTTCTTTCTGCAAATAGAGGACCAAACATACTAATAGGGCAGATACTTCTCTCGTACCTTCTTTTTTTCTAGGGGTGACATGGTAGTTGCTGAGAGTAGAGAGAGAGAGAGAGAGACGTGAGACCAGCCCTTGCCTGTAGCTTGTAATGGGCTTAGTAAATGAGAAAAAACTGTCAGTCTACATAACTGATCCTTCATTGCTGTTGTTCATGGAACAGCCTATATTTATTCATTGCAAAACTATGTTTACCTTCTTGGTGGTCTATCCACCAATCCTTTCTGTATTATCAGCAACTGGTAGTATACATCTGTTTTTCCTTGTATCTTACAACAGTTATTATTTACATTGGCATTAGGGGTATGTCTGCACCAGCATGGATATGCACATTTTGTCACAGAAAATATTACTCTGGCTGGTGCATCTGGTCCAATCATCTGGTCCAATTTGCTGTTATAATCCCTAATTAGCATTGCTATCAGCCTCCATGAAAATGTATTGTCTTTTTCTTTTTAAAAGCAAGTTTAAATATGTCTATGCAATAGTGTTCACTCTGGGATATCAAATCAATTTTGTTTAGGTGGGGGAAGTCAGGTAAAATGTTTGTCAGTATCTACAATACTGATGTAATGTGGTCCCAGCTCTTCTCTTTCATCTTCTCTCCCTTGCCTTTCATTTTGCATCTGATATGATTTGTGTAAAGGTACATGGGTGTAACTGCATACTCAGTGTTTCTTTTTAAAATCAAATCTGGTCATAATAAGAGGATACAACATGTATGTATGAGAAAAGTATGGAGATCATGTTTTATTTTTATTTGCTTATTTATTCTGCCTTCTTTCCTAACAACTCAAGGTGGCTTATGTGATTTCTTCCTCCTGTGACTGCCCCAAAGTCACACTGTGAGCTCCATGTCTGAGTGGGGACCAGGAGATGGAGCTCCTGGAACCCCAGTCCCACACTCTTAACCACCTGTAAGACACCATGGGTGTCAGACTGAAATAAAAATACACCACCAGCACAGACAATAATACATTTCCTTTACACAGACATTGCAGAAGATGGATGTTGCTGAAGACTTATCCATCCCTCTGTGCATAAATATGCTACTGAATGTACAAAGTGCATAATTTGTCATTGTGTTTTGTTGAGTTTAAGATGCATTCATTATCACTCAGAATACATTAATTTAAGGTATGCAGGCATGCTTCAAATCGTCATTAATTCCTCGGTCGATCCAATTGAATAGTGTTGTTATGGTATGTGAACCAAAGAGAAGTAAATATTTCTTGTAAGTTCCAGCCTAAGCCAGGTGAAACAGGCTTGAATATGCATAGCAAACCAGGGCTTACTTTTCAGTACTCATTTATTTTTACGATCAGTGCAGAATTTCCAGGTAATGTTCCTGGCAAATTGTGTCCATTCATGAGCTTAGTGATATATTTAAAGGCTAATGATAGTTCCAGAAATAGATCTTAAAGGCAAAGTTACATGTGGTTAATTTTTAACCTTAAGTTTAGCCATAATGCATATAATTTAGAGGCTGACTTCCTGTATCAAATGTTTGAAATTGAATATTTGCAAATAGGATTGTTTTTCTCTACTTCCATTTGTTTTCTCTCCAAAGCTTTATGCCGTAAGTGAATAGATAACCTTTGCATTGGCTAACATGTTTGGCTTTTGCAAAAACAGCTGAGGTTTGCTCCTTGACTATGAAGGTTCTTTATTATCAGAATGTTTTATTTCAAAGGTAGCAAACCTATAAAGGCACAGATGACAAATATCAAGACTCGCATCCTAGCTACATTTTTCTATAAGTTATCCAACACAGAGTTTTTGTGGACAACATGTTCCTGGTTCCATAGTTTTGCATTTTAATGCATAAGCCTCCAAATAGTGCTTTCAGGATTTATTTCCACACATTAACCCACCTCACATATCTAAAGCAGAATCTCTTGACATAGGGAACACCTTAGTTCCACCAATACTAAATTCTAATTTCCACAGTGTTATGTGCAGCTGTATAAAGCCATTTTTAAGAAAGGTTGTGATCTAGAGCGCCATCATATACACCAAACTCCAGTTCAATTTCTGCCTCAGGCATTCCGAAGAGCAGGTCATAGATTTAAAGGAGAAAGCAAAAGGACACACAACAAAATTCAACAGTTATCGCATATCAGCTTGACATTGGCTGTTGAATGCCAGCATGTTCTTCCGGAAAGTATTGAGCCTTAGACTTTGAGAAATGTCTGGGTGGAGTTTCATGCCCTTTAGAGGACAGCCACCAAGAATGCCCTTCTGCAGAGCTTGGATTTGGCATGCAATCTGTTTTTCTTTTATTTCACTAGAGCATGGAAACAGAAGGTTAGAATGGCAATTGGGAGCAGAAGAAAGAAATGGATAAGTGTAGTAGAAGGGTAGCAATATGAAATTGTATTTATAGCCACCACCTTGGCAGAAACTGCTTACATTTACTTTAATTACAGCTGTGGTAGAAATTTGTTTTTTTGAATGAAAGCTGGGATAATTTGGCTTTTAGGAAAGCTATAAAATTTGGAATTAAAGAATATTCTATAAAACACTTGTGACAAATTTGTCCCAGAAGCTTTAACATCTTGCAAGAATCCTGCACCAATGTGCATAATACCTTGCAATCATTTGTCAAAAATAGGATGCTTAGAATGCTTTTAAAAATGTGTTTTGATTGTAGCTATGGTATATTTGATATAGTTAAGTCTTTTATATAAAATGTGAATCGAGTAGAAATTTTAAAATTTAAAGTTTTACTTAAAATTTTAAAATGAAACAAATACCAGTTTAAAAATAATATAGTAATACAAAGACATTTGTGAATGTACAATTTCCATGATGATGCTTTGTGGCATATGACATGGGATGTGTTACCTGTTAATATACATTCCAGCTTAAGTACAAAACTTCTGTATCATAAAAGGCAAGGACCAATATGTCACACACTGCACAGTTGCAACAATGCAGATAAAAAGATACCTCCTCTGAGCTGCAGTGTTTTTTGGATCTACAAGTTTTGATTATGAGCAATGCTGTGATCTTTGGCATGACTTTCTCTTTAGCATGATTTATCTTTTAAGAAAATCATTCAGAGCTTTTCTATGATATCTGAACCGATAATAGCCGTCAGCTGTGTTAGACAAAAATGAAAGCTTAACATGGGTATTCTAAAGTTTTACTACTTCTGCTAAAGAACTGAGAAAGATTTATTTTAAATTGTAGCCGTGAAGATTTCCAACGCATTCCAGAACTTGCCATCAACCCACTAGGAGACCGGATTATCAATGCCTTTTTTCCAGAAGGGTAATGTATTTTCTGAATTAGGATTTGTTGGTTAATGTGGAATACTAAAGACAGATCTATTTGTATACCAAATGAGGCTCCTGAGACTTCAGATCCAATATTGATAATTAGCAGCTGTGGAAGTTTTGTGATGTTTCAAGAATATTGGTGGTTTGAGTAGTACCTCAGTTCCTAGACTATCCACACAAACTCAATACCCTCTTCTAGCAGAGGCCTCCATTTAGGAATCCAAATACTAAATCTGAAATCTTGATTAAATATAGTCATTTTTTAAACTTGGATTGACTGCTGCTTAATGTCTTCTTTGTACTTGTGTATCACCATGCACACATGAAGAGATACATATGTATAACTAAGGGACCTTTTCATACTAGGTATATTGTGCCTAGGCAGATTCCCCCCCCCCCCCCGACCAGCACATTCTCTCACACAGGCTTCGGCGAATGGGGCGGCATAAAAATGTTTTAATAAATAAATAAATAAAATGATCATATATTAAAGAAGCTTTATTTATTTATTTGGGATATTTCTAAACTGGCCAATCACTCTGAGTCTCTGGACGGCTCACATTAAGCTCTGTTAATGAGCAGGAATTAAAACATCTAAATGATCAATTAAGATGAATTGATCTGTTGGAAAGAAAACAACACACATGTATTCTAATTGGGATTCAATCAGTTCGTTATAAGGCCCTAAGCATGTTAAATAAAGCATAAAACCAGGGTTTGAGGAAGTTGCATGAGTTGGGGCTTGGTAAATTGGGGTATTAATGGTAAGTGGGAGGGAAAAAAGGGAGAGAAGGAGGCTTGGGGAAGAACAAAGATAAAGATAAGAGCTTGTAGAAGATTTTCTCCGGCTGTAGGTGGCTCACCAAGGCTTGCCTGCAAGCTTTTTAGCAAGAGAAGAGGGCAGGACGGAGTAGGTATCTACTAAGCGCAGTTACACCAGTTTTTAATGTCCTGTTTGCAACCCACTTATGACCTTCTCTTCCAGATTTTTATTCTTTATAATTGGAGATGATAGGAGTCTAGCTTACACTGCGTGCCAAGGGAGCTCAACCCTATCTTGACCACAAAGTGCATGAAGATGAACTAAGGGAGAACTGGGAAAAAATGAGCCTGGTTGTGAGCCTTCCTATAGGACAGCCAGAGCAAGGTTAAAAAGAAAAAAAATGAATATACACTCATACAACAAGAAAGTAAATAGAGGGGTGATTTGCATGTGAAGTTCCTCTAGAGCAGTGATTTTTTTATTATTATTATAATAACATTTCTATGCCGCCCCTTGCCGAAGCCTCGGGGCGGCTTACAACACAATAAAACACACTGAAATACAATAGAACATAATAAATTACCATTAAATACAAAAAATACACTGAGTTACAAACATAATATAAAATTAAAATTATCAGTATAAAATAAGTAAATAATATAGGAGGAGAAAAGAGAAGGAAGAAGAAGTTGCCCTGGCCAGATCATATGTTTTAACAATTAAAATGATGTTTAAATAAAAAGGTCTTTACCTGGCGCCAAAAAACCAGTAACGACGGTGCCTGGCGGACCTCTTTGGGGAGTGAATTCCATAGGTTGGGCGCCACCACAGAGAAAGCCCTCCTCCGAGTACTTACTCTCCTAATTTCTTTCATGGAAGGTTCCCGGAGACGGGACTCTCCCGCAAATCTCAAAGGGCGGTCGGGCATATACGGACGTAAACGCTCGTTCAGGTAGCCAGGACCCAAGCCGTTTAGGGCTTTATAGGTCATAATCAACACCTTGAATTGGGCCCGGGCTTCAATGGGAAGCCAGTGAAGCTGACGGAGGACTGGAGTCATGTGAGCATAACGCCCCGTCCCCGTCAACCTTTCCACAGCTCGGGGCCAGTGAAAACAGAAAAACCACCTTGGGGACCGTTGAGGCAGAAACAAAAAGCACCATACACATAATACAGTATTCTGTGCATTGGTTTCCGTACACAATACCAAAAAGAAAAAAAAGAAAATTCTTCAAAACAACCAGAAACTGAGCAGCAAAAAATGCCAACAAAAGAGCAAACTAGCAAAATCTGTACAGCATGGCTCCCAGCTGGCTCCCACCAAGCCATCTCTTGAGGAAGAGGTGGTGGGGCACAGCCAGCTCCAGTCTGTGGGAAGCAGCTCCCCACCCCAAACTGGCAGGAAATCTGTAGACTGGCACTGGTCCATGGACTGGTGGTTAAAAGCCACTGCTCTAGAGAATAGAGCAGAGATGCCCTTCCTGGGAAACCATTTGATTCTCCCTAAAGATAGAACCAGGGTGCAGGAAAATCCCTGAGATTACAGCAAAAGGGAACTTTAAAAAGACTATAGGTTGGTCACCAATTCAGTTAGAGTGAGGAACTTAGGTAGCCAGAAGCAGTGCTCAGGGGTGGGGAGGCAAGGATTTTACACAATTTTGTGTCAAAAACTCTTGGTTCTTGAGCTTACAGTGAATTCAGAGGAAGAGCAAAAGCTAATGGGCCAGCTAAGACAACTGGCCTACAGGCTTGTGTTTTATAAATAGTTTAAAGGAAAAAAGTTCTTCTGTCCAACTTGGACAAAACAAACAAAAGAGGGGAGAATGTATTTTGGACAGTGGATTCAATAGGATGACATAGCATGCACCTGTATTCTGAAGATTTCAGCACAGATAAAGGGAAGTACCTCATGGCCCATAATCAAACTGTGTAGATGTAATGATAGTCATCAGTTTGCATGACTTTAGAAGAGAATTAGACAAATTTGTGGAGGATGGGCTATCAGTTACTACTAATCCTCATGGCGATAAATTCTGATACTCCAGTATCAGAGGCAGTGTACTTATGCACACATCGCTAGGAAGCTTGAGCCGGGAGAGGGCTTTTGCACGCACACCCTTCTTGTGAGATTCCCATGGGCAACTGGCTAGACATTGTGAGCAGAGTGCTAGACTAGATGGTTCCATGGTCTGATCCAGCATGGCCTTTCTTACCACCTAAATCTAGTTGAGTCAGTATGTCTCGGTGATTCCAGTGATTAACAGTGTGAAGCTGCTGTGTAGAACTCCAATTTCATGTAAAACCCTAGGTGCACAGATGTCTGTTTCCTGTTACTACACCTAAGTTGATTGCAAGGCATTTAGTTTGGTGCTGTTTGATAAAATCATAGTTTTGGATTTTTATCTGAGTAAGTTACCTGGTGCACATATCCTCATATCAAGATTGTGTTCTTACTGCTCAGCTGGAGGTACAAACCTTTAGGCCTATTCTTATGTCAAGTCAAGGTTAAAATTATAAAGTGACAGTATACTGTCCTGCAAAACATTAGGTTTTATATGCTCTGTACCAAGCAATCTGACAGCAGTGCTCTGTCCCATTTATTAAATTATACTTCAGACTCTATTGCACATCACAAGCCTGGCATTTTAGCAAATACCAAAGTACTAGCTGGGTGCTAAAATCCTCATCACATCTAATGTGCTGATAGTTTACTTTTTTGAGAGAACAGATCACTTAAACACTGATATAATTCTATTCTGTAACAGCCTGAAAATAAACCAGGGCGTGGACTAATTATTGGAAAACGGCAGCAAAATGTTCATAATGTTCCACAAACACCAGTACATTTGTTTGGCCTTACTTATTAGAAGCATGTTTAGAGACTCCATATTTCTGATAGACCATGTGTTAATCCCTTTGTAGAGAAGACCAAGTGAATTTCCGTGGATTCATGAGGACTTTGGCCCACTTCCGACCAATTGAAGATAATGAGAAAAGCAAAGACCAGAATGGTCCAGAGCCACTTAATAGCAGAAGCAACAAGTTGCATTGTAAGATATTTTTAATAGTACATCTGTTCAGATAAATTGGACTGCTTTGTACCCTACCTGATAATCCTGTACCTTGGAATAATTCTCTTTAAATGTAGTTTAAAGTTATAGAGCTAAGAATAGAAGGAGTTCTAAAAATGTGAAACTTGAATTTATGATTTGGCAAAGCTCTTATTTTTCATATTTGAGTATGCATACTTATGTCATAACATTTGTTCCTTAATACTGGAACTTCATGGATCAAAAGGGAAACATATTTCATGATGCTTGTTTACTATAGGAAATGTTTAATATCAAGGATACATATAAATGTGCATGGCCAGGTTATATATGTATCATTCCTAATGGTTCTAACATATTTTCTCCCAGTGCCCTAAAAGAATCTACTGAGGGGAGTATAATGTACATAGATGTTACACAAAGAAAGAAAGAAATTAGGCAGGAAAGTAGGAAAACTCAGTTATCTGGTTAAGAGTTAAAAGAAAAAAGTTAAAATACAGCAATTAACTTAGGAGTCGGAAAGAATTTCATATCAATTCTTTTCACCACTCGTTGGATCCACAAGGAGTTAAAGATGGTTTATAAAGTAACTCTGACTATCCTGTAAATGCTTTGATCACAGACATTGATTTTGTAGTTGTATCTCTAGAAGCATAATCTTATCTCAGGTCTAGTGTTGTCCTCTCTCCTCTATACAGTATGCTGCTCCAACACCTCTTTTAATGCTACACTGGTTTTTTGCTCTTTCAGGTTGATTACAAGCTGCTCCTGCTTGCTTGTAAAACATTTCATAGCCTTATGCCCCTTTTCTCTTGTCCCAATTCATCCTTGCCCATCAATTTTGCTGTTCTAGTTTTGCCATGGTAGCTGTCAAAAGTCTTCTGAGACAATTCAGTTGTCTTTACTTCTGAGCAGACATGCATAGATTGTTGTCTTTATCACACCCACCTATCCAAATCCCCCAGATTAGTTGAAAGGAAAGATCCCTCCCCACACGTTGCTCTTGGTCCTCCAGGTTTTATATGTGGGAAAAGGCAGCTAATCTTGAATTTTATTTCTCTAGTCGCTTTTCGGCTGTATGACCTGGATAAAGATGACAAGATTTCTCGAGATGAGCTGCTCCAGGTGGGTTCAGCTTGCACAGATGAAGTGTATGTTTTTTCAGATCGCTGTTTTATTTTAGACTTTAAGGCAAAGGCTTTTGTTGCACTTCATGAAGGGTGCAATAATGTGATGAATTTGAATTTGGACTAAATATATCACATGTAACACACATTAAGATGTAAGTTACATTTTGAATACACGTTACATATATTAATAAAAATGTAGCAAATGAGAGCCAGTATGGTGTGGTGGTTAGAGTGTTGGACTTGGGGACCCTGGAGATCTCCGTTCTAGTCCCCACACAGCCAAGAAGCTTACCGGGTAACTGGGTCTGTCAGAGTTTCTCAGCCCAACCTACTTTACAGCGTTGCTGTTGTGAAAACAAAATGAAGCTATGTAAGCTTCCCCCAGTTTCTCACACTGGGTGGGATATAAATGCAATGAAATAATACTGTGTATTTGAGCATTTCTGTATAAATTTTAAATAAGTCCTGAAATTGTTCCAGACTATAGTAGATTGAAAACAAACTATGCATGAGATTTCTAAATTAAATCAGCTCTTAGATCAGGACCCTTGCATATGATTTAAACTATTGTTTGTTCTTGCAAGTTTTCCGTCATATTCATAGTTACACTTTGTGAAATATTGGGCTTATTTTCTCTTTGGAAGAGGTAACATCTTTAAGCAATTAGAAATGTGAAACAGTGGAGAAGTAGCTGAACATGAACTTCCCATTTTTTACACATGAATAATTTCTCAAATAAGAGGCGGTGTGAAGTCTGATTTTTAAATGATTTATCTTTGTAATATGATGTGGTGTTGATGTGTCAAATGAAGCTGGGTTATTTTAGTAAAAGCTTCCCCTGTGTCACTTTTAAAATAGGGTGTTATTTTACAATTGTCTTTCTGAAGACTTAGCTTAATGGAGTATTTCTTGTTGCTTGGATTAACACCACCCCACACACACATATTTCATTCCTCTTGGATTTCTATATGCAGGTGTTGCGGATGATGGTTGGTGTAAACATCTCTGATGAGCAGCTGGGCAGCATTGCTGACAGAACAATCCAGGAGGCTGATCAAGATGGTGATAGTGCAATCTCCTTTGCAGAATTTGTTAAGGTTAGGAAGTAATTTTTGTGACAAATCAGATTGTTCAAAGGCTAGGATTTCAATACTAGGCTTTCAGACAGGTGTATAGATAGCTCACAAATATAATTTATTGTGTACCATTTGTTATTTTGCTATTTCCAAGGTATAATTATAAAAAAGCAGAGGTGTCACATGAGCAGTGTGATCCAGTGTGACTGCCTGCAGCACTCAGAACTCAGGATTACAGGCATCTTATCAAGGATGGAAGGAGTGTGGAGGTAAAGGTCACCTCTGCTTCTCTCACCCTGAAAAAGAGTTAGGTGGCCAGTATTGCTTGCTCAGTCTTTTATGCCTGATCATGAGGAAGATAAACTGAGGTGCTTCCAGGATGCATCATATCCAGATATAGCCTTACTCTCTCTCTTCCCTACATCCCAGAATGCCCCCAGCTGTAGGGTTGGTCTAGTAATCTCAGTGCTGTGGCCAGCATAGTTCTTTCTGTAGCCGCACAGGGAGAGCAATCCAGATTTGGATTCCTAACTCCAACTTTGGAGTGGGATTCTAAGATCAGAACTGAGGCTCCAGTATTCTTATGACCATAGTATTGCATCCTTTAAGGGAAAAGGATTTTGACATTTTCAGTTATTGTAACAATATTGGTAACTGTTCCGGAGCATTGTCTGATGACACATGGTATAGAAACCTTGATAATGCTAAACTAGTCTGAGCTTGGTTTCTGCCTAAGTGAGCAACAGCCTAGCGACCCTAGTTCCATCATGAAGAGTTACATTTGTTACAGGATTCTAAATCAACCTTAGTATTCAGACTTTGTCTTGTTCTAGATGGTGATTCTGCTATATTTTTATATAGGATAAGTCCTCTTGTGCACCACATTTCTTTTTGTAGGTGTTTATTTAGGCAGTTATCAGGAAAACATTTTATACAGGGAATGCTCACTGTACTTGGTGATTTCAATGTTTTTAACAATGTATAACCTGTGTTTAATAATTCTTCTTTTCCACAGGTTTTGGAGAAAGTGGATGTAGAACAGAAAATGAGCATTCGATTTCTTCACTGATGAATCAAGGCCCATTCCTTGTCATCCTAATATTTAAGGAATATAGTTTGTTTTACTGTCCTTTCTCCTGAGCATTGCTACTGGTGCATGTGAGGTACATCTCCAAACCCTTCCCAGTTTGTTCCATCAACGTGAACATTCCTTCTGCATCAGAACAAAAAGAACGTGGCTGCAGTGCAGCTTGGAATGGAGCATTGAAATGGCCTTTACTTCACTGTTTTCTTTGCATTGCTTTTTGATTATAAATGATTTTCCTATGTACTGTAGTCTTCTACCATCTTATGAACTCTGATTTAGAAAGGAGGGCAAATTCCATTGAAAAGCTGGCTGAAGTCATGTTCAACAAAAATCTGATTGGATAGTACTTGTATACTCCATTTTGTTTGTCTTAAGAGGGTAACAGAAACTGTCTTTTCCTCCCTTGACTTTCTTTCAGTAGATGCCTCTATTACTGCTAAACTTCTTAAAGTAACAATTCAAGGCCAATTCAAGGATTATAGCTTTTCAGCGTGTCAAATATTATGATATTGTCCACAGGGACGTGAGCCATCTGCCAAGGGTGTAACTTGCAGTGTGGTTTACTTAGTGTAAACTATTTCCTATTCTAGAAGTTTGATGACTTCTTGCTATCCTGTACCACTAGTAGTTTTTTGTAGACATACCTGAACTGAAATCCAGCTTGTGCTTTCCATTATGTTTTTCAATGAATGCTTGCAATAATTTTGTTGCACAGCTGCACTACATCTTTTTCATACTTATGCCATGCTAGGCTATTTGGTTTCGTTTTTATCATGTTTGTCAAAGATAGGAAGAGTGGCGAATACTGTGTACCCCTAAAATTATGTAGGAATACTTAAGAAAATGCCCAACACATGTACAACTTGCAGCTTAAAGTGATAATTAAATCTATTTTTTTCCAAGCACCCATACATAAATCTGAATCTTGGTAAAATAAATTCTGATGCAACTAATGATAGTAAAAAAATGAAACCAATGAATGTGAACTCCCAGAGTCACCTTGCTGATATTTATAAATAAATTATTGCATTAAATACCAAAGCACCTTGGCAAACATTTGGGGTTGTGCAACTTGAGTTTGCAGTGCTGACTAAATATATTTCTAATCTGTGTTAAAATGCTTCTGTCCCCTGCTACTGTCATATGTCAATGTATGAAAGTATTGAGTGCATTTTTAAAATCTAATTGAATTGAATCTTGCACAATCCAACAATCTTTCAGAGCTGCACACTATTTTATATCCTCAAGGAAATCTATTGCTTGTTCATGCTAATGGTTAAATTGGAAGCACCTGTGGAAGATTAAAGAGTGATCTGAAACTTTTTAGAATTTTGATCACATTGTAACACAGGAATTCTATAATGAAAAGGAAATTGATAGTAACACCAGATGTTAGATTTCATAGGTTGAAATGTGCTTATTTTCAAATAATTTTTCTTCCTTTGGTTTTGTAGCTGTAATCCACAGTTGTGCCTTGTCAGATCTATTGTATTCCTCAACAGTCCATGAATAAAATCCTTCAACCTACTTGTCTTTCTGCCACAAATGGAGATTTAATATGAATTTTGTTGAGCACTTCAGAAGCACTATTTAAGGAGATGATGGTACTACCCTTGGGTAGTGTCTTGTCTGTTTTCACTCTAGCTTTGCAGGTTTTTTGTGTATTCGTATCTGTAAAAAGTTTTCTTTCAAAAGCATTTAATATCAGGGTGCACAAAATAAGTGTTCATGGCTGATTTCAAGTATTATTGGACAGAGCTACCCTCTTAAATATTTAGGGCTATAGCTTGTAACACGTACAAGCATCTACATACAATGGTAAGTGTTCTTCCTTGCATTGCTTACAGAGAAAAATCTGCGGGAAGATCTTTCCCCTCGCCCTCCGTATCCTTTAGTGTCAGTAGAATTATACTGCCCCATCAACAGAAGCGCAGGAGGAGCCACCGGCCTTCTGTCTCAAGAGGTAGTGCAACGGGAAGGCCTTTCTTTCCCTGCCTCAGCAGCGGCAGGGCACAGGCGAGCATTCTGGCGCCTAAGAGGGGAACCTATATTACAAGGGTAAAAACATTCCCGTGGTGCATATCCTCCCCGCCACCTCGACGGGGCAGTCAAATCCCGCCTCCTCTCCCTGCGTGGCAAAGGAAAGTCCCAAGGCCGCGCGCCGCTGCAACCCGTTTTAGTATCTTGGCATTTTGAGTGGCAGCGATCTAAGCCAATCAGACGCTGTCTTTGAGGGAGAGCCTTGGTAAGTAGGACTCGCGGCGGTCTTTACGGCACAGCATTGGCCGTGCCCACTTCCCAAGGTAGCGTTTGATTGGTTCAGAGCTCTGCAACTCGATATGAAAGCTTTTTTTTTAATCGCCTGCCGCAGACTTTGGGTGCTAGTGAGGTCTGGAGAATTCCTCTTCAGCTTGCTCCTTCTACCAAGTTAAAATGACCAACCAACCCTGGTGGGAGGGCAACTTCTATAATTCTTGTATTAGAACTCCTTGGAGTCTGGCGCTGGCTTGGGGACCTCCAGAGGCTATGGCTAAATCAAGTGGATATTTAGGATCGAAACCCCATAAAAACCAGGGTAAATCCTCCCTCAGCTTAACCTACCCAACAGGTTTGTTAAGAGGATCAAGTAGGCTGAGGGCGGCATGTGCATCTTCCTGAGCTCATTAAAGAAAGAATCTGAGGGCACCTGCCCCAACAAGATAGCATGTCTAATTTACTCCTTCCCGCCACCTCCACCGAACGCAGTTACTCGCTTTCCATAGGAGGCATCCTGAATGGCTGGTTCCACCAACCCTCCACCCGACCAACGCTACGGAGTGATTCGTAAACAGGAAGGCGTGCAGTACGTACAGATCAGCCAATCGCCTCTCTGAGTTCCGGAGCTCGATTAACACTCGCGCTGAACGTCCAGTAGCGGACAAGCGGAGTGATGAATGATAGGAGCCCGGGCCAATAGAGGAGACCAGCGGGTTGTAGCACAGGCGTTCCCGCGAGGCCCATATTGGGTGGCTGAAGTGAGAAGGGGAAGATGGCGGAGTGAGAGGAAGAAGCGAAAGCAGAGCTGGGGGCTTCGGCCCAGGGCCCTTAGCCGAGGTAAGAGATGCGGCGCATTAAGAGCTGCTAGCGAACGTTTGAGGGCACGACGAGGCTCTGGGCGGAAAACCCCCTTTGACTTCATCCAGCTAAGCTGAGTCGCTGAGTTGGCCGTGACGAGCTCTCGTATGCTCGTTTCGGTTCCGTGCGTACTGATGTGAGCAAGTTCGGGTGTGTTTTGGTTCAGGCGCTTGCTTCGGCTAGCTCCTGGCCTTTTCGCGCGTGAGGTACCTTCCTCCTCTTCGTGGTGGTCGAAGCATGGCGTTTTCTCTCAGGTTTCAAAATAGCAAACTTTCAGTGGGCTGGGCCTAGAGCGAGGGGTCTACAATTCTTGTTTGGCCTTAGTAGCCCATCCAAACGTGCTGGTCAGCAGAACAGTTCTCTTCAGGGACGGCCTTTCTCTCCCGTTGTTGAAACTTGAAAGGGTTATGGGGGTTCGTTGCTTAGGGCCACCATGGCATGGACATGGTGCTCCAGGCATCTGGAAAGCCATTCGCAGCTTCGCACAGTGGAGCTTGAAGGGCTCCTGGCGTGTCCGGCGGAGAAGATTGATGGCAGTTTGGTGGCTTGTTAGGTGGAACTATCCTCAGCCTTTTAACCAGTGCTGGAGATAGGGAGTGGCAGATATTGGTGGGCATTTGCCTGGTTGCTTCCTGATCGCCCTTGTCATCCCTGCAGCTCCAAGGTTTGTAGAGTGCCTGGAGGTCAGGTTTTCACATGCTCTCTAGCCACAGCGAGTGTGTTGTGCATGCAGCCTTAGGACAAGTGCAACAAACCTACTCTATAGATCTGTATAAAGATCTATATAATATATCCCCTCTGAAGTCAGCATTTAATTTTTAGAAAGTGGGATAGCTGTCTCTTTGCCAGAGCCACTGTTAGGGGATGGTCCGCTAGAACTGAATCTCTGGGAGACCACAGGCACTTGCTAAAATAAAGGTACAGAAACCCTGATGATCTCCATTGAATTTAATCTCCCTGGATTATCTAGCTTTTTGCCTATGTGTGCTTCTCTTTCTCTTGCCTCCCTTGAATCTCTTTCTGCCCTCCCAGCAGTCAAAAGCTTTTCTTTCCCCTGGCCATACATCCATTTTTAGAAACAGGGATGACCCTGGAAAAGGGAGTCTTTTATAGACATACAAATGTATGCATTGTTTTTGGTCTAGTGTTTTTTCATTACCTAGCAGCACTCCTGCTGCAGCCCTTTTTACCTCTAGATACTCTGTATATAAAGAGATGCCAGCATTCCAAAACAGCTAGAGAATGCATCTGGTGATGTGTGCAGCAGGACTGATCTCAGTCGTCTGCCTTAATATTTACATCAGTGCTGCCCATCCAGACTTTGTCTGTTCCTTATTGAGCAGGAAAAATTATGTGTTCCTTTTCTTATATATTAAATTTATTTATTCCATTTCTGAACTGCCTATTATTTAAAGTTTCCTAGGCAGTTTACAAGAAATCAGTTAAACCATAAAATACAATAACATAATAAAACACAATATAAAACCATATACTTAAAGTAGAATAAAACCAAAGTAGTAACCAAGATAAAAGCTCACATGGATGCAAAGATTAGGAAATGCAGTAACAGAATTTTAAAAATTGAAGTACTAAACATCCTGGGAAAATGAAAAGGTCTTCACCTGGTGCTGAAAAACTGCCGTGTAGGTGCCAGTTGGACCCCTGTGGAAAGGCCTTTTTCAGGGACTGAAAAAGTCCTTTCCATATTGTTTATTTCATCTCATTCAGTGAGAACAGTTAGTGAAGTCCCCCTGAGGGTTATGTTAGAGTCCAAACATGTATACATGGAAGGAGACTCCCATTTAAGCCTTTGTGAGTTAATACCAGCATACTGAATTTGGCCAAGAAATAGAGTGACAATCAGTGCAGATCCTAAAACACAGGCAGAATATGATCACTTAGAGCATTTCCCAGGAACAATCTTGATGTCCTACTTTTAGCCAGCTGAAGTTTACAGACTGTTTTCAAAGGTAGTCCAATGCAATAATTCAAACAGTGGATTTGCAGCATATGGATAACTGTAGCTAAGCTATCTCTGTCCAAATAGGATTGTAGTTGGCATATCAGCCTAAGCTGATAAAAATGCTCTGGGCCAGCAATGAAACCTGTACTTTCAGTGGTAGTGCTGTATCTTAAGAGCACCTGCAAACTACAAACCTCATCATTTAGGGTGAGTGCACTCCCTTCCAGAACAGATTGAATCTCACTCACTTTGGCAGAACTACCTACCAGTAATACTTCTGTCTCAGCTGGATTGAGTCTAAGTTAAATGATCCCCATCCACTCTATTGTATTGGTTCAAAAGATACTTTGCCTCTCCTGAATTTGATGTGGGGGAGTTGAGTGTCATTTACATATTGGTGGCACCTTAGTCCATATATATGGATAATCCCTCCCAGTGATTTCATGTAGATGTTGAAGAGCATGAGTAAAATAAAGCCCCATGGCACCCTATGGAACAATTCCAGCGGCACAGAGCAATAATTTTCCAGCATGGCCTTCTGGAATTAGCCATCTAAGGAGGAGCTAAGCCACTAGAGTGCAGTAGCTCCAACTTTCAGTCCTGATTATCTAGAAAGATGCCATGGTAAATCCTATCAAAAGATTTTGATAGGTTCAACAGAATTCTTTCTTGAACTGAGAGTTTTGTTAGATTTTCTCCCATTTTCTCTTGTCTTGTGTAACTTTACAGCCCTCAGGTGTTTAGTGCTTCTGTGCCTTAGAAATAGAATTTAAGATTTTCAGTGAGTTAGGAGGGCTTCAACTATTTTGTCAATATGCACATGTAGGCAGATGTAGTTCTTTTCATCCTTTATTTACTTTTCTAGTCAAGTTTCTTTTTTTAATCTGTTTTCTTTGTCTTTGCAAGGTTTTTATAGTGTAAGGAATGTACATATGAGTGACAGATACACTGTTCTCTTCAAAGAGTGGAAATAAAAGGGCAAAACTAGGAAGAGCCCATCTGTGATGAAGTAGATTATAACTAGGTTTAGAAAAGCATTAAAATATCTAGTGTGAAGGAGTTGGCAGATCTAATGTAGAATTGTTAGTGAGCTTCAGCAGATGGTTGGAAATGTATACTGAATGTATTAAGTCACATGTACTGTATTCATCACTATATTCAGAGAACAGCTGCATCTATTGAAATAGATATTGCTGCTTTTTTAAAAAATGACATACTACTAAATTTTGTTTATTCAGCTGTTCTAATCATTTTTATAGAAAAGGGACAGATGCAGAGAAACGTCAAAGGACTTGTTCAAAGTAACTGAAGTCTACAATTTTTGACCAACATGCCCCTCACCTGCCTTCCTAAAACCCTAGCATGGAGAGTAGTCTGTGGAGCACTGGTGCTTGCATCCAATGCTTTCCTGCCTGCCTTTCCTGCTTAGAACATAAGAAAAGGCATGCTGGACCAGACTAAAGGTCCATCTAGTCCAGCATGCCATACACATGATGGCAAACAGGATCCTTCAAGCTGGATGGGTGCAAGACCTCCTCCTGCCCAAGCTCCTCAGCAACTGGGGTATGCAAGCATGCTGCCTCTGGCAAATGAGGCAGCACAGAGCCAGCAAGGCTAGTAGCCACGGATAGCCTCCTCCTTCATGAATCTGCCCAGTTCCTTTTTAAAGCCATCCAGATTGGCAGCCAACACCACTTCCTGTGGCAACAAATTCCATAGTTCAACTATACACTGTGTGAGGAAGTACTTCCTTTTATCTGTCCTAAACCTCCCACCAATCAGCTTCATGGGACTGCCTTTGGTTTGGGTGTTACAAGAAAGGTAGCAAAATGGCTCCCTCTCCACTTTCTCCACATTCTTGCATTATTTTAAACACCTCTATCATGCCCCCTTACTTGCCTTTTCTCTAAGTTAAACAATCCCAGTTTTTGTAGCCACCCCTCATAGGGGAGCTATTCTGGCCCCAAATCATTATATGTTGCCCTTTTCTCTATTTTTTTCCAACTCAATAATGTCCTTTTTCCAGTGAGGCAACCAGAACTGAACACAGTTTTCCAAGTGTGGTTGCACCAAATATCTTCATAAGGCAAGTAAGACCCTGGCAGTTCTATTTTATATTCTGTTCTTAATTATGAGTAGCATGGAGCTTGCCTTCTTCACAGCAGCTGTCCACGGCATCCAAGCCCACCACTAGCCCAAGTTCTTTTCCTTGCTTAATCTATGCTAGTTCAGATCTGAGCAGTGTATACTTGGGATTTTTGCCGCAAAATGCATTAGTTTATACTTGCTTATACTGAACTGCATTTTTCATTTTGATTCCCATTCTTGCAACTTGGAGAGATCCCTTTGGAGCTACTCACAATCCCTTTTGTTCTTAACCACCCTAAAAAGTTTAGTGTCATCAGCAAACTTGGCCACCTCATTACTTACTCCTAATTCCAGGTCATTTATGAATAGGTTGAAAACCATTGGCCCTAATACAGAACCTTGTGGACCCCGGTGACCTCTGCTTCATAACTTCAATCTGTTGTCACATCTTTAGGAGTGGCAAGAGTGTGGAGAAAGTGGAGAGGGAGCCATTTTGCTACCTTTCTTGTAACACCCAAACCAAAGGCTGTCCCATGAAGCTGATTGGTGGGAGGTTTAGGACAGATAAAAGGAAGTACTTCCTCACACAATGTATAGTTGAACTGTGGAATTTGTTGCCACAGGACATGGTGTTGGCTGCCAATCTGGATGGCTTTAAAAAGGAACTGGGCAGATTCATGAGGGAGGAGGCTATCAGTGGCTACTAGCCTTGCTGGCTCTGTGCTGCCTCATTTGCCAGAGGTAGCATGCTTGCATACACCGGTTGCTGAGGAGCTTGGGTAGGAGGAGGTCTTGCAGCCATCCAGCTTGAAGGAGCCTGTGGGCAGCTGGCTTGCCACCATGTGTATGGTGTGCTGGACTAGATGGAACTTTGGTATGGTCCAGCATGTCTTTTCTTCTATTCTCTCCATGTGTGTGTCTGTGTGTGTGTGTGTGTGTTTGGATTCTTGTACACCTATTGGATTTGTTTCTAAAATCGTTTGGAATTTGAGTATATGTACAAAGAATTTGAGAAAAAGGTGACTCTAATATACAAAATGAGGAAAACATATGACTTACTTCTAAAAACTCTGTAGGATACTTACCTTTGCCTCCAATTTTGGCCAGTAGTGTGTGTGTTGGGAAAATTTGGATCTGAAAACTTCTGAAGTTCTAAACTCATTAGAATACTTGACTTCATGTTAAAGTTCAATTTTCCAAACATAAGCCGCATTCTGAATACCTACTTTTTCCTAATAGTTAAAATTAGTTACATTGAAATGAGAAGGAAATTCAGGGGAGAACACACACTGGGACCTGAATGGTGGTTGTTCAGTGGCAGAGTTGTGCCAAACCCTCGTGCCCATGGACCACAGCATGCCAGGCTCTCCTGTCCCACCAAACCACACACCCACTGCACCCGTGACTCCAGCCACATCATCTGCTGCCTTCTCCTTTTGCCGTCCAACGTTCCCAGCATCAGGGTCTTTTCCAGTGAATTGTTCCTTCTCATTACATGGCCAAAGTATCTGAGTTTTAGCTTCAGTATCTGTCCATCTAGAGAACAGTCAGTGTTGATTTCTTTTAAAATATATTAAAACTTCTAAATGGTACTACTTTAAATGATATATTCAAACAAATTTAGGGTTTTATTCAGAGATTATTTTATTTGGAAATATATTAAAGCAGCAAAGGTGAATAGTATGCGTTTGCCTTACATTTCCCTAATTTATAAGAAAAAAAGACACTGATACCTGCTGCTACTCATATGCTTATATTAAGTTGCAGTCTGATTGAGAAAGGTAGGAGCCTGTAGGTGATGCTGCTTTGGGGAGGGAAAGAAGGAAGTTGGAGCACTGTCATAATAGCTGGTAACTTGGCTGTCCCAGTCTCTCTTGCTTCTCACTCTCCAGCACACCCCATTTGCACCCTCTCTGATGTTCTTTTCCCAGTCATAGAGAGCCACTAGTGCAGAAAGGACACCTGCTGCAAGGAGGAGGATTGGCGCTCTCATTTTCCAGTTTTGAGTTTGGAGTGTTGTCTCCAGCCCTTGAGCTGGGAATCTATATGATCTAGGACCCCTCGGAGAGTGTCTAAGGACCATTGTATTGTTGCCTTAGTTACATCCCAACCTGCATGAAAGATACAGGCATTTCCTACGTGTAGCCATCTTTGGAATGTTAACTATGAGTTTGGAACTGCTCACTCTGACTGGCTTCATATGCATTTGTTACATTATACTTCACTTTGTGATACAATGTATTTTTATACAATAGTGTGTTGTCTTTATAGCAGTGCATTAGTATATTGGGCTATTTGAATGCTTGTTGATTGGATGAGAGGGAATCCTGTTATAAATCTGGAGCAAGCAGGCTGTTTCCTGTATGTAGCATTGATTTTAGAAGCATGCATTTTTAGATTATAAATAATCTTGGGTTTACTTTTTCTATTCTTTGATTTACAAAATGCTACATATCTTCACCTTCCATGGGTACTTATATGAACTGCAGGTATTCCACACCAAGGAAAATCAAGGGTAATTATCTTCTGACAAAAATGACTCACACATGTGATGGAAGTGATTGGAACTGAAGTTCTCTCCCACCCACCCCCTTTTTGCTTTAAGTAACCCAAATAATTCAAGTAATTTATTGTGGAAATCTAACAGAATTTAGTTATTATGTCAACATTTGTTAAAATTATTTAGTGGGTGGTTAGTGAAATTTTATTCGAATATGTGAAGTCAGTGTGCAAGATGGTGTGAAAATTTAAGTACCAACTTAACAGTATATGGTTAAAAGCTGCAATAAACCGGAGGGCTCCATCTTGCTGAGGGTGCTGATTCTTCTTTGCCTTTGAAGATATTCCGCATTGCAGGAGGATTATAATAAGGACCAGAATGCTTTTGTTTGTGTATACTAGAGGTGTGTGTTTAATTGTTTATGCTCTGTTTAATGATGCAGCCCTGCTCACAGGTGATTCATCATTCTACTGCTGGCCTTGTCAGCTTTGAATTCTTGAGAGTTAACTTCTTCCTCCCTTTCAGTGAGGTCTGAGAAAAATATGACCAGGAAACCTGCATTTTCTATCTGAAAACATCTCATGCTTTACCAAGAATATACTATTTGATTAGATATCATGTCAGGGGGAGGAATGTTGCCCTGTGTGGTTTTTTTTCCATTTCTTCTTCACGGAGAAAAAAGAAGATTGAAAAAAATGATTTCATTAGAATAGTTCTAATGAAGTTCTAGAAACTCTTAACAAGATTTAAGCATATGTAATTTTGATGGATTACATTATTTTAAATGCATTTTCTTCAAAGTAAGAGATATTTCATGCTGTAACTTGTTAACCACTCAGAGAGCCTCAGCTATTGGATGGTATAAAAATGAAATAAATTACATGGCAGCCTGTGTACCAGTGTTTGCAACAATTTAAGAGGAAATGTGCCAGGATGCATAACCAATTTCAGGCCCTCTATAGATGCCCATCTGTTGTCTGATTGGGGAGCCTCTTTCAAGGGCTGGATCTAGTTTTGGAAAAGCTACTGGGGACCATATTCCTGAGGCAGGTTTGGCTGAAGGGAAAAGGGTAGGGCCAGAAGTGCAAATACAGTGGTAGCTTGGCTCATGAATGCCTCAGTTCATGACCAAATCGGATCATGAACAGAAATTTCATAAAAATTTTGCCACAGGTCGCAAACTCTGCATCAGATGACGATCGCAAGCACGCCCGCCTTCCCCCCACGTTCGTGCTGGGGGGTAGATGGCTGCGATTGTGCCTGTGTTTCCCTGCCTTAAGACACCCGCCTCCCTGCCAGTGTGCCTGCACCCGCCTTCCCCCAACACAATTGTTGGTGGGGGGAAATGGGCGCAATCTTTGTAGTTCTTTGTCACTTTGCTTCACATTTTTGTAAGTAGAAAAAATAGTTGCAGAACAGATTAACCTTATTTACATTGACCCTTATGGGAAAGTTTGACTTTGTTCACGACCAATTTGGGTCATGACCAGAGTCCTGGTCCAGATTAAGTTCGTGTGCCAAGGTACCACTGTACAGTTTAAAGTTCTTGCTGCTAGTAGCAAAGCCTTAGGAGAGGCACAGCAGACTTTTAGAATGGGCAAAAACTGCACTAAGAATGGAGAAGCTACCAAATGTTTAGTGGTTGTGAGAAATGGAGAGGAGCCAGAGGAAGGTGTCATGGCCGTTTGGCCCCTGAGCCGGAGGTTCCCTAAATGGGACATTGCTTTCAGACATATATTTTCCTGTGGTAAAATGTGGCTCATAGTTTAGAGGCAATGCAAATTATGATTTTCCACTAACTGTGCTTAGAATCTTCTGGTTGTGTTACATGAGGCTGAAGGCGAAAGGGTAGTGCCAAAAGTGCAAACAGAGTTTAAAGTTCTTGCTGCTAGTAACAAAGCCTTAGGAGAGGCTTGCATGAGGGAGGAGGAAAAGGGCACAAACCAGGTGGTTGTAGATACCCTTGTACAGAACACTAAGCTTGCAGAGCCCATTGATTACAAAGTGCATTTTAGTTCATCTTCATTAAAACTAGAGATGTGCGATTAGTACTTAAGATAGGAAGGTGACTTATGTTTCAGCTATAAAGGACATTGACTATCAAGCTAATGGACTCTACAATCAAAGTGTTCAGTATATTAAAATCTAGAGATATACACTTAATACTATGATTTAGATTAGTTGAAATGAAATGAAATGGAGCCTTGCTCCAGTACTAGGAAAACAAAAGTACCCTGTCCTAACCTGGAGATATTCAGAAATTGCAAGTGGGAGATGAACAATGTATAAGACACTTTTAACAGTCAGAACTTAGGGTTTTTTTTAACCTGTTGTGCACTTCAACCCCAGATCTATCCATGCATCATCTTGACTGGCATTACCAGAAAGCTGAAGGCAAAGGTGCTTGGTGATAACATGATTTGTGCTGCCATGAAGCAAAAGGTACGTGTATTTTATCCGTGGGCCTCTTTGAGCTGCTTGTTGGTTATCTCTCACAATGGAAATGATACTTTGTTTAGCAAAAAAGGATCGAATGATGAAGACAAGGAGCTACAACCCAGAATAGTAAAGCAGTAGTATATAGCCGCTCTTAGATGAAATCACTTGTATTTCTGGGTACTAAGGGCAAGTCATGTGTGAAAATGTCAGTCCAAAAACGGTTATATCCCAGATGTTGTAGGAGAGCCCATAGGATTGTTCAGATTCTCAGCTCAGAGGTCAGAGACAGCTGCAAGTTCAGAGTCAGGAATCAGAGTTTGATCCCTCTCCAATATCTTGCAACCAATACAGGCATAACCATGCTGGCTGCTCACCAAGTTAAGGACAGCAACCTTGGAGATGGGATAAAGAGACTATTCTGAGGGGGAGAGAAGGAGACTGTAGTGTCTAGGATATGATATAGCCTAACACTGCTCCAATCTCCTTCCCTTATTTTTTAAAGTGCTCCAGCTAGATAGCAAAATAAATAAATAAAGTTAGCAAGAATGCAGAACAGGAGGAGTGGAGAGACAGAGATCAACACCACCTCACCTGACTTGCACTGGATGCCTGTAATCCTCTGAAGGGACTTACAGGACAGCACCCTAAAGCAACAGCAGCATCCATCAACAAATGTGTAACATTAAGGACAAGTGAAGTAATAATATTGGTCTAATTGCTTGGCTCAAACCTCATTTAGATTTCTGTAAGAATAGTATTGACAAAAAGGAATGTGTGCAAAGGAGAGTGGTGGCGGCAGCGGCTACTAATGCTCTGAGGATCTCAGGATAACTTACATAGTTCTACTTCATCCTCACAACAGTAATCCTGTGAAGTAGGTTAGGCTGAGAGTGAGTGGTCCAAATTACCCAGTGACCTTCATGGAGTGGGGACTAGAACCCAAATTTCCCAGATTTCTGCTCCAACACACTAGCTCCCACACAGCCAATGATAGTGAGGCACCTGTAGACCAAGCCCTATGTAGAAAAGAAACTTAAGAGGAATGTGATAACTTTTCAAATAATTGAAGAGGTGTCACAGTGACAATGAAACAAAATTGTATTCTTTTATAGAAACTGATGGTTTCAACTTTCAGGATTTCAAGCTGTTCAGAAGTAGAAAAAGCTGTCTTAGCTGGTAGAATCTCCTTTTTTAAAAACAGAGTATTGGCTGAAATTGAGTTAAAGGAAACAATATAATGTAAACAAACTAATTTGATCATTTCTCAATTATAAATCTATGTACTTATTAAAGTAGTATTTCATTTTCACTTGATGAAAACAAAGTGGTCTAGTCCTAACTTGACAATTATGGGTATTTCACTTTCTATTTGCTGCTTTGTGTTTGTGAGGTTGGGTCTGGGACAGGACAGGGTGATGCAGAAGACACCACCACCAGAAAGAAGAAAAAGCTGGCAGTGTACAAGTTGCTATATTCATCTCTGAATAAAGACTCTTGCTAAGACTATTTTACATACATTTCATTTATAAGCAAAAAGGGATAACAAGTAAAATGTATACAGTACCACAAAGGTGCAAGAAGAATGAAACACAATATAAATAGTTGTAAATTAACATGGCTTAGTCATCAGATTTTCATTGTTTAGGAAATATATGAAGTATCAGTGGGAAATGTGATTTAAATCAACCTTCTTTTGCTGTACAAATAATTGATTTAAATAACTTTTCTCCGAATTCCTCTATTCTGCTGAATGACCAACTATACTGTGGTATTGGATTTCCTGCAGTAGCAGATTGAACTAGACAGTTTCTGAGGTGTCTTCATATTCTGTTTGAACAGCTATAAGAATCTTTGTTCTTTTGTTCTCAATTTAGCACATGCATATATTTCTAAAAGAATGATTGGAAATAACTTTCAGAAAAAGGTTTACCCATGAAACTTTTTAATTTGGTTTTTATGATTTTGCTTGACTTGATATACATTGACTATGAGCCATAACAGTCTTAATCTTTTCCTTTGCAGGGAAAAATATTCTTGTGGTTTCAGTCAGAGAATTGAAAGCCAAGAAACTGCAGTGGTCTTATGCAACAGTAAGTAAGTATGGAAAGGGGGTATTCACATTGCTATATTTGAGAAACTGTTTCAGGTTTTTTGCTGAGGTTCTGGAAAAGTGAAAAGATAAGAAATGGGAAGTATATTTTGGTGTTGGAAGTCCTTCTGCATGGTTGAAAATGTGTCCTCTCATGAAGTCTACACTTAGTCTGTTATACAGTGCCCCCTCCACTCTGGCAATCCTTTTATTCCATTGCAATCTTTGAATTCATGAGCATTGATCCTTAAAATGAAAAGTCCCTCATTCAACCTGCATGACATACAAGATGGGCTTCTATTTTGTCTTAGTCATTGTTGTATATTGCTATAGACTTCCTAGAATTTTTCTAGAAAATATGCACTGTTCCTAGCATTGCTCATGTCTTCACAGGCAACAGAATATGGATTTTTCTTCTATACTGAACTGTTTTTCTGGTAATGATTTTACTTGATTTCAGCTGTATTTATAGTGAGAGACAAGCTTAGCTTTATATATACAGAATTCTGCACAGTAATCAGGCTCTGCATTGCATGTATGAAAGTTGATGGCTCCAGGTATATGGGCATGACTTTTCGTGTAAAGGTAAAAGCAGTCTTGCCATTTTTGACTTTGTTCTGGAATTCATCTGCAAAATTCTTCCCAGGAAAATGTTAGTGTTCCAACATAATCATAAAGTGTGCGTATATCGAATAGTGCATGAAGTTAGTTTCAATTTAATTATATTAATGTGTGTTGTGTGTCCCACCAGGTCCTTTCTTCTCCACTCAGCTAAGGCTGGAGCTTTGCCTGTCCATGAATGCACTTCTGATGAAGAAAACTCCTTCCTTTATCTCCATGAGGGAAAGTAAAGAACCACTGCTCTGTTTCTGCTCCAAATCATTTACATAAAAGTTGACTTATGAGGCTGGTATTACAGAAAACCTATTATTGCCCTTACAGTGTCAACTATGCTAGTGCTTTCCTTGGAGTTTTTGCACTCTGGAAATGATTGTGCATGCGGGAACTGGCAAATGTCAGTTCTGGTTGGTAGTTTGCTTCATTCAAAGTACCATGGTGAGGTAACTGTCTGCCTAGTTCCTAGATCTCCATTGGAGAACCTAACAAATAGATGTCCTTGGAACATGTATTTCAGACCATCTTATACGTAAGATCTTAGCAGAATAACCAGGGTAGACATATGTTTTAAATTGGAAAAAAAACTTAACTGGGAAAGAAAAACAGCTTGGAAAATTTCCCAATGGGAATTTTTCTCCTCCTTAAAAGGGCCAATTTATAGATAATTATCTTGTAAAGCAGCTGATGCATAACAGGTGATAGTTATTTTGTCTACTGTATTTCATACATCCTCATCTTTTAAAGCAAAACAAGTGAACAAATCAAATCTGCACATATAAAACTACATAATGGCTAGAAAGGGGAGTTACTGCCAGTTTTCTAACATTTCTTCCAGAAGAAAAGAAGATTGAGGGCTTAAAACAAGCAAACAAACAAAAGCCCAGGTGCATTTAGCTTTACATGGCATCCCCACTCTTCCTAGGGAATTCAGCAGCAAAAGGAACAATAGCTTTCTCCAGTTCAAGCTTTTACCCAAAGGGAACAACAAAGATAGTATAAAAAGTGTATGTAAAACTTTCCAGCGCTTAGATGAACAAAGATTAGACATGCTCAGGAAGGGCTTCTTCAGCAGTTCTCTGGTGTGTTATCCACAGTTAAGGTGGAAATTTTGATTTAATGTGTTTATTGAAGATTCTTTGTCATGTGTGATTCATACAGGACATTTTCTTTCCACATGGGATCATAGCTGATCTTTAGCTACCGCATGCCAGGGTAGGTGGCTTCCTGGTTTTAAAACAAAAAAGTCTTACGTACTATCTTGTGCTGAACCCTGGAGCCCTTAGTAGTGCACCTTATTTTAGACTTATTAAAATGTGAACTTAGATTCGTCAACTAATTTAAAAAGAAATCCTCCATCTATGTTAGAAATTGGAGAACATATAATAATGATCAGCCATGTTTAGCAACATTTTGAGTGCTATCTTAGGTCTAATGAGAAGTAGCAAACGCATTTTCTATGAAGGAAAGCAGTGCCTGCTTGTACTTTATTATAAAATCTCACAACACATTCTTGTGTGATTTTATAATAATGAATTTCATGAGAGCACCTAAGCACTTGTATTTGGTCATTACTTCTTATTTAATCATAAAAGGATGCACAAAAAAACTTAAGACATTTTCTTCAGCTGCTTTCCTTGATTGAAAATCAAGTTTGGAAAAGAATGTTTAATAGGAAAACGCAAACTGCTGACAATTTAAACCTGTAGAACATAATCAGATCTATGACTGGTCGGTGTAGCAGGAGAAATGGTTGGTTAGATTGTTCAGAATCAGATTGGCTTTGAATTATTGAACTTCTGAGATAAAAAAGAGTTAAACTAATTAGATATCATCATAGACTGTCCTAAACAGGAAATTCATTAGTATTCTAGATGTAGAGCCAGACAGCTTAAATATAAATTCTCTGTGAATCTGATACTGAAAATTTAGAAGGCATCAGCATTGTGATGGATTGATCAGTCTGGGTTTTATGTTGTCTTAGCTACTTACACCTCAGAAATATTATTTGTTGAAGAATATCATAGTACAGAGAGGGAATGTTCTTTAGTTTTTTTCCAAGTTGTTTGAATGAATGTATGTGAGAGTGATTATACGAGTTGCACAAAACTCCAGTAAAGAACTTTACCCTATCCATCTGTTTTCCTCCAAATCCCATTCTAATTATATACCCAGTTATGCTGAGCAGGACTATGTTAGGAATGAATTTAAAATCTTAGAGAAACAGCAAGTCTTCTGTACTGGCCCAGGAAATCCTCACGCAGTACCTGTCCTGTAGCATCCTCTTACAGCACTGTGTAAAGGCAATATGCCTTAATATTTTGGTTTTACATACTGATCTGCATCTCTGTCTCTATGTTGGCAGGAAATCTTTCCCAGATGATAGATTTAAAAAATATGGGGCATGTGCAATAGTATAATATATACATATAAATATATTTTAATACTTGTGGACAAAATGTTACAAGTTGTTTGAGAACAACAAAATCACCAATGTCTTCCATTTTGAGATGTGTATAGTTCCATAAGCATTAGTGCTTTGTAGCAAAACTGTAGTGCCATGTTAGGACCAGTGCATGAGCCTAGTAGTGCTTTTTTTACAATTTCAGAGTGACAAATTAACAATGCTGATGGTGTAATTCATAAGAATCTGACAAAATTATGATCATGGTCTTAAGATGCAGTGTCCTTTCTAGGCAATGTTAATAGAAGACAGAGGTATAAAATCAGTTAAGTTTATCAAAAGAAATTACAAAAGAACCCCAGATTCTAGTTTAACCCTTTTCTCTGTAATATTTAGCTATAATAGAAAAATAACTGATTAACTGATTGTTTAGGTTCCTAGGGCCCAATCTTGTACATGTTTAGACACAAACAGGTAGAACTTTTCCCTGTCCTTTAAATGTCCTTCCATATGAACATACATAGTGATTAGAATGACCATATGGCTCATGTTCTTCAAAGAACTACATGTTCTTTTAAAAGTCTCCTCAGTATATTTTTGTTTTCCATTGAAAAGGCCTTGGATTTTAAAATCTTTTCTTCTGCTGTATCATCATAATAATCATTTCATTTCTGTACTGCCTATAGCCAAAGCTCTCCAGGCAGTTTATGACAAAGCTTTTTAATAGATACACTTGTGTCAAAGTATCACTGTAGTTCTTGATCAGGAGTAGCTTCTTGCAAAATTGACTAAATTAGAACTGGGATTTGTTATTACTAAATTATTAATAATCTCCAGTATTAAAAGCAAATGAGTTCAAGTTTCTGTTCACCTAGGAAATTGTAGGAATTTCCTAATAACTCTTGCTATTGGGTTATACTTAATCACTGCAATCCAGACACATTGACTTGCATTCGTTTATTTATGTCTCTAGGATGTCTCTTTTCTTTTCTGAATTTACTCCAAGTGGATGACTCTCATGTTTTGATTCAAGCAAGTCACTTGAATCAGTTTTAAGCCATGTATCTTTCTCTTTAGATCTGTAGTTTGGACTGCTTCTATTTGCTCATTTTTAAAAAGTCATATTTTTAGCCTAAAGAGGATGCTGCATCTTTTTCTTGGTCTTGTCTGTAAATGGCTGCCTTCGTTAGTGGAATTTTTTTTCTGGCTTTGAGTTGATTATTGACTAACAATTCATAGAAAACATGTAATTAACTATGAAGCAAGAGATCTTGCAGAATTAGTTTTACATTTAAAGGTCACTGCCTATTTCCTCCTGTAAATTGCGAAGGTGGATCATTTACAGATGACCTGTAAGGACCTGAGCTCTGTCAAGGTTTTGTTGTGTATTTGTACCATTGAATTAAGTAGTATTAGTGCTTGGGAGAATCAATTGATGGAAAAATACCTCTGAAACTGGAATGCAAAATAGCACAGTATGTAGGGGGAAGAATCCCTGATGCAAATAAAGCCATAAGATGACTTAATAAATAGAACTTTAGTAGCAATAACTGTTTGCATGTAATAGGAACTAACTTGCATTAGCAAGAATTGTACAGTAGAATAAATGGTACTAACCAAATAGGTTTGTGGTGCTCTGTGTTGCAGGGAGTTGCCTGATGAGTTTCTCTTTAAAAAATTGGCAAATTCATCTCCTCTAAGGAATTTGGCTCATGAATGTTTCCAGGGCAGGGCTTGATACAAACACCAGAATAGCTATTTTGTTTTTCAGAATTGTTGCAACTAGAAAAGAAGCTGCTTGTGCATGAAGAGGTGGATGACTCCTTATCCTGCTTGTCTGTAGATAGCATGTTGTTGATACTCACCTCTGGGGTGAAAGAAAACTCTTTAAAAACTGTGAACAGGGCTAGGTTCTACCAAGATACGTAATTTAGGAAATGGTGGAAGCTTGTTGCCGTTACTTGAAACTAGTTAGATGTGTCAAATCTGTTGAAGAATTCAGACAAAATACAGATCATCCAAATATTTCTACCAAGAGTTGTGACTGTCTTTTGAAAATATACTTTTGATTTTTGACTTTTGCAAACCTGCTGTATGGTTTTACTTTTTTTCTTTTTTTAAATCTACTGTTGGAAGGGAAGAACAACTTTCAGTTCAGCATGGCCAACATTCGTTTAACTCCACCACTCTACAGCATGCAGTGTATACGTCCTTGAAATGCAGCTTGCACTTAAGCGGGATGCATCTGCAAAGTGGTATTGAAAGAGGCTGACTTTACCTTTGTTCTATTCTTAATTATGGGGTCTCCATTATGTACCAGCTGTTTGATTAACACAGTCTTGCTAAATAGGAATGAAGGCCCTATTTTAAAAGGGAAATCCATATATAGCCTGTGCAAAGTTCTGCCCTTATATATTTATACTGGAATATGAAAGTAATACCTTCCAAAAGAATCAAGCATAAACTTGTCATGCATGTGTGCTAAGACAACCAACAAAAATTGCTTAACAAGTTTTGCCCACAGAAATATGTAGGGAAACTTTGCCCTTCATCTTGCCAACTCCCCCAAGCAACACCACCACCAGTACCCTAAAGCCCAGATCTTGATTAGCTAAGGAAATTATTTGCACTTAGTTCTGAACACACATTGGCAGAATTGTTTTGAGCAGCTGGCTTGCAAGCATTTTCATATTTCTGAAACTGGTGCTAGCTCCATAGTGCTACCTAATTTAGTAAATAGTCTGAATTTTAGCACGGTATCAGGGTCACAAGTGTGTGGACTTCTTCACTGCATTAGCTATGGTGCTTTTCAGAAAGATCTAGTTAAGATGTGGTTAATTGTTTGAAGAGGCTTGGATTTCTAGCACAGCTTCATTATGGAAAGTATTATAACCTTGAGTTACAGAAATGTGAGGCTATGAAATCCTTCTGGGGGATTGCACTTAAGTAGCTTACACCTCAGCAGTTGAAATGTTTAAACTTCAGAAGATCTAGCATTGTTATTTATTTTCATCAGCAGATAAAGGGGAGAAAAGGTCCTTCTCTAAAGTGGCTCTTCATGGTACTTAAGCATTCCTTGTGTATTTTCCTTCTCTTTTGCATTGTATGATTTTCCTGATAGCCCTTATCTTTGTTTGAAGAACAGTTTCATTCAAATCACATTAGTGCTATTCTTGATGAATGGCTGCACAAGACTTGCTTTTCATTTCTCTCAGTTCTAGTCGCATGGTTCCTCTGTATTTTTCTAGCCTGTAATCTTTTTGGCAACATTCCTGTACTAAATCTCTCTCTTAGATTTACCTTCCTTGTTTTAGACTTTGAAGAACACTAAATACAGAGGCATAGGAATTCAAGCACAATTTTGACAAAGAATACATAGGTGCCACTAAATACCTTTCACAATAAGCTTCTATTATACAGGTATCAAGGTTGCATCTGGTAGATCTGGGACCTTGCAAAGAGGATCTGGTGTACCTAAATAAAATTAGGTTGCTGTTTTAAAATCTATTGGTGCTGGTGTAGTAGCAGAGGAAAGATGAGAGGTCTGTTTCCTCTCCCTGTATGTAGGCAAAGAGCTCTCTCTCTCTCCTGAAATTCAGGGAAATGGCCTGCAGGAATATTTGTTCCACCTAAAAAGGACTTCAAGAATAAAATTCACTAGTGTCTGCATGTAACAGTGAATAAAATAACACTTTTACATGGAAAGTCTCCTTTTGACTGGAATCTGGAAAGTGAAGAACAGGTAAATGATTAGCATAGTCTGAAGGGTGAGAGCAAGCTGAACATTTCTCACATACTAAGAGGAAAATGTGTGTAGAGTGGGAAACTAGCCTCATTTTATCTTGGGGTGGAAAAATGGTGGGTAGGGTGGAGGCTCTCTATTTCAGCACTTGCTACTTGGCTTTAGACAAAACTTTTCCAAGTCAGCACAATAAATACTCCACAAGGCTTAGCTTTTCTTACAGACTAGAAGCTACAACTTGTTCTTCCATGCAAAGCAGGGCTTAACAAAACATTTGAAAGATAGTTGGGGTTGTAAAGCCCTCAGAATGAAACATTTGCATGGAAAAGTGACAATGGCACAAGCATACAGGCCCACAAACCGTCTTTTATAGAGCTAGTATTCTAATTATGCATGGTTAAGATGTCTAGTGTTATAGTTATTACCAGTAAATTGATATATGCATTTATACATTATGAAGCAATAGGAACTGATATACCAATAGCTTGAATTTACTGCTTTGATTCTCAGATTTTTGTTTTTAGAGAACATGCCCCTTTAGAAAAGGGGCCGAGTGTACAAATAAGGGAAGAAGCATGATGCCAAAACTGTGTAATGGAAAGAGGAATCAGCAGAATGAGCCCTTTTGACCTCTTACCAGGTTCACAGTGGTGCTTTGAGCCTGCATAATATGAACATGGTTGGTGGCAAGATGGGTTTCTTGGCTGCTACAATTGTACAAATAAAAAGGTGCAGAGTTTCAGAGAGCAGAGAAGGCAATAGATGAAACTCAAATAGGGTAACAGAAACACGGTCGTTAGTAATAGAGGAAATTCAAGTATTTTTCACATAGCAGACAGAAGGAACCTTGGTCAGAGGCTATTGCAGCAAGTGAATGAGTGAATAAAATTGGTAAGCAGTCTATACTCTTCAGGTATTGAACCATTTCAAGGAGAGGTCTGTTTTTTTCAGGATTCTTTTACCACCAGGGCAGCTATACCAAGATAAACTGGTTTCAAACCAGCAATAATGGTATCTTACACAATTCTGAAAATTTCTGTCTGATACACATTCAAGACAAGCTAAAATGTGCTAAGTAGGGAAGTTTTAATCTTCTAAAGAACAAATGGTAGCAACCCCCCTCCCCCCACCATGACCCTGTGCCCCAGTTTTACTTCAGTTACACAAGTGAATACCACAATTCGAAAAGTGAATGCATAATGATAGCAAATAATTGCAGGAAACATTAATTAGTGGATACTAGAAACATCAGCAAAGCAAACCTCTTGCAGCAAAGATTAGATTGAAATTGTTTTCCTAAGGCAAAGGTATTCTTTAAAAAGAACCCCAAGTCAAAATTATCTAGTTAGGTGGCTAGACTAGTTTCTGAAGGGCGGTTTTTGCTTAATATAAACACTTTATATCATTTTTTGTGCTTTTCCCTAGATACATTAAGGTATGTCTATTGTCCATTATATAAGTGTTTTCCCCAAGCATATTTCCAGTTTGTTGCAAAGGTCATATTTTTCTTAAATTGCAATTGTCGGCAATTTGTAACTGCCAAATTGATTGAGAATGAAATCAGGAGTGAAGTCTTCTGTTGATATGCATTAGCTCAACTGCCCCTTTGATTTCATATTAATAGCAGAATAGACCACAGCATCTTATGTCTAAATTCCTCCCTAAAAACTCTGCTCCTCTTGACATTGCAACTGTTTGCAGGTAGAACAACCAAAGGGAGGAATTCATTTTTGTGTTACTTAATGTCTTCTTTTGTAACAACAAGAGTGTCTGACGTGGGAGGAATGTACTGAAAATAATAGGTAGCAAATGCTAGAGCCTTGGAAAACGTACAAGAATTTGTCTAAATCTTAATATATGTAATTATTTATTCACTTGAAATAGGAGATACAAGGAAGATACAGGTCACACTTACTGTTGCACAGATTATGTAACATTATAAAAAAATCTAGCCCTGTATATATCAGAAATTTTCCAAAAGGCAGCTTGCTTTTATATCTATGCATCTTTGGGGGAGGGGAATAGGGGTGTTAAATGTATTCTTTTGACACTGTAACAATTACTCAAAAGTGAACTTGGAAACTCTGCACCTGTATACAATTTTTTAGCAATAAAGCAGCATGGGCTGAGAATGCACTGCAGTGCTACTGTGTCATTCTTTTGGGGAAAGATAAATTCATGGTAAAGTTAAACATAGAAGTGAGTCTATAGCTACAAATATGTTTTCCTTCACATCACAGGTGAAAGATGTTCAGGTTGAAGAAACAAAGCAAGTACTCAACAGTGTTAAGATGACTCAAGAAATTGATGTTAATAGCCTATAGTCCAGCAAATTCCAAAAATATATGGTCGCATCTTATAGGGGGAGGCATCATCCATGAGCAAAACTTTTATGTCAAATGTCAGAACTTGATATTGAAACATATGGTGTCAGATGAAAACCCCCCTTCTTCCCAGCTGCACAGCAACTCACACCCCATAATAGAGTGGTTACTCTACAATTTTATGGCTAAGATCACCATCATATTAATGGCTCAGGTATTAACTTTAAAAGATCTGTATACCTGTTTCCACTGCAACAAACTGGTTGGTTCAGCCCCTGGCTAGTCATACAGCTAACTAAAGAATTGAGAAAAAAACCCAAAGCTAGTTTAAACAAGGGTCCAGGAGTTGACAATTCCACTGATTGTTCATGCTGTGCTTTCCCTTGTAACATGGCCACACATTTTGTTTTTTAAGAATGGCAGGAGGCCCCACAGGTAATGAAGAGATGTGCACTGTGTCATCCATGGACGTCTCAAAGTAAATCCCTGCTTTGCAACACCTTTTAAAATGGGCACCAGTCATATCCAGTAAGGCTGTTCCTGTGTCATTTACTTAGGCACTAAAATAATTTTACAGACTAATCATAATTGCTTATTAATATAATTGGTATGAACAGGACATCTGAACCTGCACATATTTGCTAAAAATGCTCCATTTTAGCCAGTGAAATAAACACTGTGCACTAAACAAGCATCAGTGAGGCTTGAATATCCACCCCATGACAATGGAAGAAAACCGGGGTTAATCCTAACTTGTGTATGAGAAAATTGCACAACCTAGAAACTGTAGATTAACTGCAGTAATTAAGCACTTCAGAACACCTAATTATGTTCTATGAGTATATTTATACTAGAAGGATATGCAGCACTTTCATGAGGGCTGCCCCATGAACATAGAACTTATTTTCCTAAAATATTTGCCCAACTCTTACTAGTTTTGTCAACATTTCAAACATATTTTGCAATGGAATCATAGTTTTTCGGTGTTTGAATTTGATTGTAACTGTTTTCTAACTGTTGCCTGTTTTATAATTGAATCGGGGGGGGGGGGTCCCAAATTAAATTGGAAAAAAAAATAAAAGCAACCACCCACAAGTTGATCCCAAAAATTACTGTACAAGCATTAAATTTCCTTCAGACAAGAAAGTATCCAGATATGTTCATAATACAATCCCAGAACAGTATTTCTGTGTGAAATAAAGTTTCTGTGGAGGTATAGTAAAATCATTTGTACATGCGTATATAAAAATCTATTGTCATAGCTTTTTATATTTGAGTGAATTAACTTGAGCCTACGAAAAATAATTACTTGCTAGCCCAAGACACATTCTAGCTACCATTTTCAAATACAATGAGAGCAGTTGCATGAAGACTTTTTGAAACTCGCATGTTCTTCACAGCCAACATATACAACTGTAGAAAACTTCCCGATTAATTGTTCAACTTCTTCCTTGTAGATCCAGATGCTTGACCATGTGGTGTTCCTTTGTAGGTTTGCTTCTCAGCCACAGTCCTCTGCTTATTTAATTGTTCTAGCTTCTTAATCAGCAGTTCTATACGCATGTGCATTAATACAAGGCTTTCTTTTAACTACAAAAAATAAGCAGTCTAGGTGAAAGGAAGTCACAACCAATTATATCAACTAAGCAGTTTTACTGGAAACAATGGTAAAATGTCCAATAACCTTTGCTCACCTTCCAAAACAATACAGGGCAGTCAAAATCTCAAAGCAATGCAAAAGTTAGGTAATTGTTACATTAGAAAAGACAAATTCACATCCATCTTCTTTTTTCAGTGTAACTGATCAATTCAGTGTTAACAGCATAGGAATCAAATATATCCGAGGACAAGTTAAATTGAAGTAATGGCCATGGTAATCTGGTACTTGCAATATGGGAGCATCTCTAATGCAGTTTGGAGAGATGAACTGGACCAGGTAAGCAGGGCTTAATGACCTCTGACTATTTGAATCACTGTCCCTTCTGCAAGCTGGTAAAACCCTGGCAAGGGAAGAACCCATGCCACAGACTCCTCACATACATCACAATGTTTCTGCTATTAACCAAATGGCCCAAGAACGGATCTTGTTGCCGCATCTCCCATTTTGCTCCAATTAAGGCTGCAACAAACTCAAGAACCTTGGCTATAAGTTCTGAATACCCCATTTTCCTTTATATGTTGTTATTACTCCCATAAGTTGTTGTCAAATATGCGTCTTGAAAAACAATTCTGTCCTCCAACACACACAGGCTTAGATTCAAAATTAATTGGAGCCTCTGACTTCTGCTGCAGCACCCCCATAGCTTATCTGGTGCTTTTTAGAATGGGTCTCTGACCCTTAGCAGCAGCTTTGCAAAGAGTATAGTGGCAAACTGCCTGGAGCTCAGTTCCATCTCAGCTTGTGACAGAGGAACGTACATATTTATATCAACATGTACCTTTAAGGTTCAAGTGTTTTCTACAAATTAACAAGCATCCTATGTGACTATGTCTTACTTGAGAAAAGGGATGCACGGTTGTGTTCAATAATAGGTAGTGTCATTTGGCATATCTGAAGAGAATGCGGAAGCTGATTTTGCATATTCACCAGCAAGGCTGGTGGGAATTATGAGAGCTGGAGTACAACACATGGAGAAGACTAGACTGGGATTCACAAGATTGGGTTCTAGTCCCCACTCTGCCATGGAGCTCACTGGGTGATTTTGGCCCAGTCACAGACTCGCAGCCCAACCTACCTCACACACTTGCCATTGTGAGTAAAAAATGAGAAGAGAATTATGTGAGATGCTTTGAGTTTCTTGGGAGGAAAAACATCAGGATATAAATATAAAATTTAAAAACTATTCTGTTTCAGGCACCTTTACCTTTAAATCTTCAAAAAACCTTACATGCAACATCAAAATATGAGCCCCACTTTTCCTACATCCTTTCAACAGTATAAAGCCTGGTTAGGGCCTGAGGAGGCACGGAATACCTTGAATTCCCTGATCCAAGATCTGAGATTTCACTATGACCTCAGTGTGAGGAAATAAAGATCTGATCCCCCTTCCCTGCAGGCATGAAAATAACCCTATTGACTGGCTCCTGAGGTTGGAAAGTGACCTTGGAGAGGTGGAAAAGGGGACCTTCTGGGGGTGGGTTTTGTGGGGAGGAGACAGTAAAGGCCAGGATACAAGTCCCTCCAACCATCCCATTGCAGAACACTATTGCCAGACAGCGCCCTTCACCCCCCAATCTTGACTAGCAAAACCTGCAAGGCAGGAGGAAAAGGAGGCAAAGATAGCGTCCACTGCAAAGAATGATAGTAAGACTGAGATCGGGCTTACAGTCATCAAGGGCACAACTCACAGGGCTGAACATTAGACATCTTCCACAGGCTCCCTGTTGCTGAGCTGACACAGGTGGCAAAGTGCTCGAATACTGGTTTAGGTGTACTGCCATCTATTCAGTTTCATTGTGACAAGGCATATACATAAATAAAAATGAATAAATATATACATATTAATAAATCAAAAAAGTTTACTTTATGCACATGTTCCTTTAGGCTCACTTGAGGAAAGGTCATCTGTGAGGCTTCAACTGTGGTTTTAGATTTTAACGAGTAACTGAAAAATAAGTTGAAAAATATGTTTTGAATATGAGCTCAGTCATACAAATGTATGGAAAAAGCAATGTATGCACATTAATTTCTATTAGCTGGTATCCAATTAAGCCCTTGCTCCAAAAGAACTTCCATCAGTGGAAGTGGGAGGAAGGCAATTCCTCTCCCTACATACCCTCAAAATCTGCTCCAGATTACAAACCACAAGCTGCCTCTGACCCTATTTGAGAAGCACACAACAAGGCTTAATATTAACAGGAATCTTCTTGTTGCAACTAAAACAGGTAAAATGAAGTAGGCAAAAGTGAAGCCAAAAACAGCACCCCACTCCCACAACAGATGAAGCATTCAGTGGCTTCAACTAGTTACTATTCCCTCCAACAACAGCTGTTGCCTATGCTAAGTGGAGAACAAATGGAGCAACTTTAAAGAGCACATTGGGAGGAGAACTAAATATTCAAAATACACTCTGATTATTATAAATCTTTCCAAGTAGCTAATGTCCATATTTTGCTAGCTAGGTCACAAATAATGTCCTGAAATTAACAGATTCGCACAGTCTCATACTACAACAAATTTCAGATTTAAATTAAAACCGCTGTTGAAAGTCCTGACTAATTAATTATTAAGTGATTTTCCTTTCAATAATGAAATACTAACCTTTCATATCCTTCCCTCAGGTAGGCTAAATGTTTGTAACCATTAATTCATTAAACGAATTCACTCTTAAATTCAAGAAATAGTGCTTAATGACAGATTCTGGAGCTATACTAAAATGAGTTGGTTAAAACTCCTAAACTTGTATTATTAGAAACTTAATGACAAGCAGCACTCAACATCATGTAACCATTTATACAGAAATTCTTTCAATGTCAATCACATGTGTTGACTTAATTACCACAACAGAGTGCATGCAGAGGATGCCATCATGATGCCAGTGCAAACAGGAGCATCCTCTTTCTGAAAAGGTTCTTCTAAACATATCCATCCCTTTTATATTCAGCTTATGTAAAATGTTTTGTATGAAACAACTATTATCCTTCATATGAATGCAGTGTTTCCTCAAGAATTAAGCAGTTGATCAATTCTGGATGTATGTAAAAAACACTAACCACGTGATGTTGTCCTTAAAGAGACAGAAGAGGCCCCGCAGGTAGGCCAGAGGTCTGGAAGAATAGGGTCTGAAGCCAATAGCTGTTTTACAGAACCGACAGTTCAACCTGTTGTAAGTGCTGAAAGAAAAGGCCAGAATGTGAAATCAGTAAAGTTCCAAATTCTATCCATAACTTGTTTTATGACCTTATTTCAAGGGCTTCAAACACCATACCATGAGCAATAGCACTGGAATCTGCACTATAAGGTGCAGAATTCTGCAGTCATAAAACCCAATTCAGCAAGTATTCTTGGTCAATTTTAAAAGATTTGTATGAAAACGTTGCCTTTTCCTTGCAGGCTCCCAGATGAGGTTTCTAACATGCAATCCAAATGGTGGTGGCCTGGATTCAGGATCTGGTCATTTTCAGGGATTCCCAAAATCACAGTTCACCCCTTCAAGAAGATTTCCCTGAGCATTTTCAGGGTACTGCAGGGGCTGCCATGGGAAGGAAGGAACAAGGAAGTCTACTTTTGCCACTTCAGTTGTAAATGCCTAAATGTGGATCCAGTCCAAAGTACCAAAAGCTGCTATTTTTCCCATGTACAACAATACTCAAATAATTAACATTTATGGGTAACAACGCAGCTAGATTTTGAAGCAGCTACAAATTCAACAAACGTCATGAGAAATAACCAGCATGTTTTCCTTTCCACAGAATATGCATCCTTAAATGGAACCCTGAAGAGATGACATTCATCCAACATTGAGTAAAACCCAACTAAATGTTTTGTACAAAACCAATGGTGAAAGAATCTTAAACAATAAGTGTGTTTGTGTGTGTGTGTGTGTGTGTGTGTGTGTGTGTGTATCTTAGATATTCCCATTCCTGGGCCAGGTTCATCTGATAATAAACAGCACTTTCAAGTTGGCTGAGGTATTGTTCAGAGATGCCTGGTTTCCAGGCATATTAAGTTCAGACTCACCAAAACAATGTGTAATAGCTATTTATGAAACTGAATGATGGCCAAGAGATAGTTGAGTGAACTTCCCAGGCAATGGTTGACATTTAGATTGCACACAATTTTGCAGTATCCAAAATCAAAATTAATTTACAGGCTTCTCATGGGAAACACCAAACCTCATTGGTACTCCACACCAGAAAGTGGGAAACAGCAATACACAGTGAAAAGTGAAAAAAAGAAAGAAGCCTTTTGAGATTCCACTGGGGGTGTACAGAAAAAGAACATTTATAGTTTATTTAGACATAAAGGAAATACATGTGGTATGTAGGCAGTTTGGAAGGGACTACAAAGTTGACGTCTGTACAAGATGTTTTTATAACCTATCAGCTACATACATTGTTTGGAGAAAATGTGAGGAAATCACTACAAGGTATTCTAGAGCAGATTAGAATAAAACAAAAGGGATTAAGACAACACAGTCCAAAAAGAACCTTCAAGACAGGTAAATGATTAGCATATATAAGAATGCACCCCCAAAGAACAGGCAAGCATTAGCATTTCTAAAGTGTACATGGGAAGCAAGACTTGCAACATGGATTTCTGATCAGATCAGAAATCTTAAGGCATTTTAAGTCTAAAGCTGTTCATACAATATCAGGCTTTTAGAAGCCATATTATCCCTGATAACAGCAAAAGACTTGCAGGACAGCAGCACAGAGGTGACTTTCATATCTGCACTCTTGCCCTCCATTGGATTCCTGTAATCCTGTAAATTTGGAGGATTATGGGTAGCCACATTGGATTGCACTATTGTATTAGCCTCCTTTTACAAGTAATGTATAGTTCTAAAACAGATTGCAAAGGGTTCCAGGATCTTCTGAACAAGTGGACATTAAGAAATGCCAGAACATACACAAAAGAAATAACTTTTCCTAAAAACTTCCTACCATCCAATGAGGTCTCCCTCAACACAGACCATCAAGTTATCTTCCACAACAACATCGTTTGTGACCTCTGAAAAGAGAATTTCTGAAAATTACATAATGTTAAACAGTCACTGAGTATTACGACAATAAAAGTATTATTTCATTTAGTACTTCATCCTTTTTGTGGTATCTTTTATAGCCATGTGAAGTTCTTCATGTCTTGTACAAATATATTTCTGCCTTTGTTATTGTACATAAAAGGTATCTACTGTTAGTATTTCTGCAACACACACTTAATACATGTTACAGACATTTCTAAATGAAAATTTAAATTGTTGAAATGTTTTGTATAAACTGATATCCAAATATAAATGACACACTCTTTCAAACTAAAAAGGGCAGAAGATTTCCATCATGTTAAAAGTGTTGTGTGTTATGTAATCCATTTTTCTTCTCCATGGACTCGATGCATTACATATGTACACCAGTAAAATCAGTTCTTAAATCCACTTCCAAGTCATTGAACCCTACACATGGACAGCTGTGCAGAGGTGACTAATAATCTTTATGTGGTAATTAATTTAACGATTTAGATCTTTAAAAGGATTGAAAACCGTAGACCACTTGGCATTACCCTGTGCAAGCTCGACGGGTGCAAAATGACCTGTGTGACTGCAAGGAGATGAAACCAGTCAGTCTTAGAGATCAACCTTGACTGCTCTTTAGAAGGCCAGATACTGAAGATGAAACTCAAGTACTTTGGCCACCTAATGAGAAGGAAGGACTCCCTGGAGAAGAGCCTAATGCTGGGAACAATAGATGGCAAAAGAAGAAGGGGACGGCAGAGGATGCGGTGGCTGGATGGAGTCACTGAAGCAGTCGGTGTGGGCTTGAGTGGCTCCGGGGGATGGTGGAGACAGGAAGGCCTGGAGGAGTTTTGTCCATGGGGTCGCGATGGGTCGGACGCGACTTCGCGACTAACAACAAATGTGGCTGCGCGACTCTTTCTTTTGCCGAGGGCGTGCTGGTGAGCAGTTCGCCATACCGAAATTCGAAAGCTCACGCCTAATAAAAGGCACCCCTCCTTTTTCCTGCCCAGGGAGGAGACCAAGGCACCCCGCGGTCGCTCGCAGGGCGAACTCACTGAAACAAACGAGGAGGCGGAACTTGTCCTCTTGGGCGCACAGATGGAGAGAGTCGCCCAAGACGGCACGGCAGCGCCGGCACTGATAGAGGGCACAGTCCTCCAGCCTGAGCCCTCGAGCGCCAGGGACGCGCTCCGCCGGCTTCCCCGGTGCTTTGGCGCTTTGCTGCGCGTTGTGGTCCTTCGCGGTCCGGGGTGCCAAGCGCTCCACCATGATCGCCCCGCTCACTTGGGGCTCCTGAAAGAGGAGCCGAAGCTGCCGCCGGACTGCCATTTTGCCTGCCGCCGAGCGTTCAAACCTAGCTCCCGCCTCCCTTTGCGCCAATTGGCGCACGCCCGCTTCTGGCGTCAGACAGAGTGTCTCGTTGTCCACGCCGATTGGACATTTTACTCAACCATATTAGGAAGCCTCGTTTCAAGAGCGGCTTTTGTTTTCTCGGAAGACTAGAATATGCACTTCCGCTTTAAAAAAAATAAACGCCTTTTTAAAATCCAGGATTCCTATTGGTTATCCAGCCACCTTTTGGGCGGGGCCCGACCGACGCAGCGCCATGTATGGCGAGTTCGAAGTTGGGGGTGGGTCGGAAAGGCGCGCCGCGCGGGTGGATTTGAAAGGCAGCGGTTGATCAGAGGAGGCTGCGAGCATTTTTCGCGTGTGGTGGAGGCGCTCATCGCGGTTCTTCCCAGCCATGGAAGTGTCGTCGCCGCAGGATCTGGAGACGCTCAAGTATGCCGACCTGCAGCGCCTGGCCAAGACTGCAGGGCTGAGAGCTAACCTCAAGGTGAGAGCGGGGATAGTGCGGACGTGCAACTGAAAAGGGGCTTGGGAATGGGCGGAAGATGCGTGCCAGTGTGAGATGCCACAGGAAGGGCTGCTGGGCCTCAGGTATAGTGTCGCTGTCTTTTGAATATTTATTCTTGGCCAGCAGCTGGATCCTTTATTTTAATCTGTGCGACGAGGGGGGAAAGCTTTGCTAGTGTCCCCGGCCTTACCAATCTGCCCCCCGCCCCGCACCCAAACCTTACTCAGATTTTCTTTCTGAGTGCCACATATCCACTTGACCGCCTGAGCTTTTCTTATTCAATATGTTCATGCGCATAGCTTTCGATCTGTTCTGCCCGCACAGACACCTGTCATTTGTTGTCAGCACAAAAACTTGGGTAGGCTTTATGGATCCTCAGGATTCTGGTGTTGGTTATGACCTATAAGGCCCTCAACGGCTTGGGTCCTGGGTATCTAAAGGAACGCTTGCGCCCATATATGCCCTCCTGAGATCAGCAACAGATGCCCTTTTCCGGGAACCCTCCGTGAAAGAAATTAGGAGGGTAGGTACTCCAAGGGCTTTCTCTGCGGTGGCGCCCCACCTATGAAATGCACTCCCCAGAGAGGTCCGCCTGACACTGTCATTATTCGTTTTTCGGCGCCAGGCGAAGACCTTTTTATTTAAAACTTATTTTAATTGTTACTTTATTGGTATTTATAGGATTTTAAATCTTTTAAGCCGAGATGCACCGGGTTTTAATATTTTTGTTGTATAATTGTTATATTTGTATATTTTGTTTTTGTTGTGAGCTGCCCTGAGGCTTTGTTGCAATGGGGGCGGCATAAAAATGTTTTAAATAAATTAATAAATAATTCTGTAATGTGTTCTGTGATTGGATGGTGCCTTAGAGGAAGTTGCTTGTAAAAATCATGAAGATTCATAGTGTTGTGCCATGCTGACCCCCTAGAACTGTTAGAGCCATGAGCTTTTGTTTCATTCCATGGGAGCAGATGTGTTCTGTGATTTCATGGTTGAATGTAAACCTTTGGCACCATTTTCTTGTGCCATGGTGACAACCAATGAATACTGGATAAGTGACTTTTGTACTTCATTTCATGGAGGCAGATGTGCTCTGTGATTGAATTCTGATGGGAGGGGGTTTCCTTGCATGAGGACTCATACCTTGGATTCACATTTTTGCATCATGGTTATGCCTGAAGGGGGTAGAGCCATGATATTCATGCTTAAAGTCCATTGAGGCAGATGTGTCCTGTGACTGGATAGTGGTCTGGGAAACTTTCCCTGCAAAAAATCATGAAGAACTGTGCCTCAGATTCACCTAAGAGTGTCAGATATATGATTTCCTTTGTTTAGTCTACAAAGGTCAATGTGTGGTGTGATGATTGTAGTTTACTCAGTGTCCCTTTAAGAATCATATGAAATCATGAAGATCTGTTTTTGATTTCATGAATCTGGATTTGTTTTCATTTTTAGACTTGCCAATAGCTGAAGCTCTCTGGGCTGTTCACAGCAATTAAATGACTAGCTTTTATTTTCTTCCTAAAATATAAAACAATTTAAACAGCTAAAACAAGTACAACATATCTAGACCTGACTGGAGGAAAAACAGCTGACATAAGCTTCCCCCACGTGTTACTTAAAGCTATTAAATGTGTAATTCTTAATCTGGCTATAAAGGAGAGCAGTGTGTGTGAATTAGGCCTTAATGGAGAGATAACAGCCCTTGAGAAGGCCCTCTTGTTGCTGCCATCTGAGCCTTCAAAGGAAACACAGCCAGTCCAGAACAGGTTGAACACCTGCCAGTAAATTACTCTGGTTTCAGCAGTATATTTAAATATACTTAGTGACAAGGTGTTCTTTTGCTAGTCTTGCTAAGCAGAAACACAGATTTAGTTGATATTTTACTATTCCTAAACTGTATTCACCTGGGGTTAAATTCCACCCCTAGTCATTGTTATGTCCCACGGTTTTACAGATGAGATTAGAGACCAGTTGGTATTTTCAAGAGAAGGTTTATTTCCTATAGGGACGACACTCTCTCACAAGGATGGGATGAGTGCCGTGCGTTTTAGAGGGACCACGGAGTATTTATACCTTGTTACACAAAAAAAAGGAAAATCGTTACTTGGCAGCATAAAGCAAGCTAGCATGATTTACAGAAGCGAGACGATTTGTAGCTCTGATACAAAAAAGTGGCGCGGCCTTGCAGTTTGTCTATGTTTTGATAACAGTGGAGATGCTCTGCAGCTGGTCTATCCTTTTAAGTTATTACCCCTTTGATGAAACTTGTCTATTTGATAAAGTAACACTCTGTATGCATGAAGTAACTGATAACCCTTCCATTTGGCTATTTTTATTGAGACCCCAACCGGTCCCAGGCACCAAGGGTTCTCCCCACTTGCCCTCTTGGACATCCAGTTGGTCTGTCACAGGAGTTCACACAGGGTTCACAACTCTCCGTTCCCCCCTCCTCCCTGCTGGACAGGATATACAACATGACTGCGGCTCTCTGGCTAAGTGGTCTTCCTTGGTTTAGCCTAAGTGGAGTGAAAGGGGGCATTCTTGGTAATGCTATCATATGAATGTGCCCACAAACATGTCTACTGCATTGTATGTGTTATTTTTTTCTCAAGCCAGTTGAGTCAAGTCCAACAGTCATTAGAAGAAAGCCTATTATAACATTTCCAAATTTCAGATAGTTGAGCCATGTAGCTTTAACTTATTTTTACTCCTGACACTTAAGCTCTTTGCCAATTTGAAAGCAGACAAAAAATGTTTTTTGTTTTTTGATTTCAAGACAAGCATATAAAAGACTTTTTCCATTAATAGTACATCACTATATGTATCACTTGGTATATTTTCTTTTGAATTTTATATATTGAAAAAGTATTGAATGAAATTCATGAACTGAAGTTCTTATGTTACAACTATTTTGTAGGCAGACAAGCTGTTAACTATGTTAAAGCAGCACTTCTTTAAGCCAATACAGGAAAAAGAAAATGTGGTAAGTACAAAAATGTTTTTTGAAAACTATTAACAATGTTTCATATAATGCAGTGTGCTTTGCCTCCGAAAACCCTTTTCACCTAATGGCTATGTGTGTGCTGAAATGAAGCTATTAGTAACCCTGACTTCTTTATTGAGTTTGTTCTTGTGGGATAAGCTGTAAGCCAGTATGACTGTACAAGTCACTGGCTGTTTATTTGCAAAAATCTATTTTCTTTACTAATTTTGAAATGTTGCAAAAATGCCCTTGGTCTTTTTCCCTCAGGGTCTCAATTATCAGGAAAAAGGGAAGCAACGCCCAATAGACTTAAACCATTTATGTTGCATGCAAATGACAGGTCAGCAGTGTGGCTCATGCCCAAAAGTGGAGCTGACCAAAAAAACAAAGGTTTGGGCACAGTCTTTATAGATTACAGATTGGCAAGCAGTTTGGACTGTGCATGTCCAGGTGCTTTCCAGATTCAGATCAGTCAATCCTGGCTTCCCACATCGTAGTACTTTTAGAGAGTAATTAGTGGGGTCTTGTAAGCTAGGTGTTTTGCTGGTATTTTCTAAGAATTGTTTCTTGTGACATTTAGGATCTTGGTAGATGTCTCTAGTTTGTGATTGGAGTTAGTGAAGGTTTTCTTATAATTGCCTTCCCTTAACACTTGTGGTTTTGGTAGGTATCACTTCCCAGGCACCTAGGTGTCTTCATTTAGCTTCTAACTGACCAGCTGATCTCCCCCTCTCTCCCTCCCTCCCTCCCTCCC